TTCACAGCTACTCTGTTTTACAAGTGCTGGCGATCGCCGTAAGGCGAAGGCTCGGGATTTTGTCGCCGAAAGAGGCGGCGCGGTACATGACTGAGACGATAACGATCGGAATGAATCAGAGAAAAATGGTTTTTCTTCTTATTCTTCTTCTCGTCTTCTTTGAAGGATATCTTGGAGGAATAAACGATCGCACTGTTGACTAGTGGTGATAATACACACAGCGCCGCCGCGGCGGCTCTCGACGAATGGACGGTTCGAGGTGCTGTATACCTACGAGGAACTATTCAGTCCGTGAAATGCTCTCAGGAGGACGATAACTCCTTGGAATCCAGCGAACGATAGTCCTAGGCTTGTGTCAGTTTGTAGAGCTGAGCAGTTCGAGGGATTACTAATCAGTCAGTGATTCGGTCAGTCGGTCAGTCAGTTAGTCAGTCAGTAATTAACGGGTTAGTTATACTCCCCGAGGTCCCTCAGAGAATGTAGTCGCGGTTCAGAGACATGAGAGCTCGCGAGGAGGCGTGTTAGGGCTGGTTCGCCCAACCACGGAACCTACGGCGAAATGCGGAATGACGGCGAAATGGAGCGCGTGGGAGATTTTAGATCTAAGACGGTGGAAATCGACCTACGGTGGAGAATAGAAGCTACGGCGTGAGAAGCGGGAAGGAAATCGACAAGGAATGTGCAGGAAGGAGGAATAGAGAAGGAGAAGCATCGAGAATGAGATCGACGGGGGAAATTGTGGTTCGAGCTTGAGGCGCGTTCGAGAAGGTTCGAGATTCGGACTCAAGAAGTGTTCGGTGCATTCGGTTCAGTTCCGTGTGCGACTCGGGGTGAAACGAGGCGCACGCGGTTACTTGGGAAACAAGTGAAGTTACGAATCGCATTTTGTGTCTTGCCTGACTATAAAACTGCTTGTACTCATTCTGGAAAACACAACATTGGACAACATTGAGATTCTGAAATTGCTGAAGTGTGTATTGACAACTTCAAGCAGAGCTGCGCATATCGTTGGATTTGGGAGATCGTGGAGAACACGATAAGCAATAGCAAGTAGACTATTGCCGACTAAGGTGTTTACGATCCTAAGAACTGGTATCAGAGCTTGGCGAACGGGCGCGTCGATCGTCGTGAATTCACTTGGTGCGCTAAGTGAAATTAGTGGAGAAGAGGAGTCGTTCACGCCTACGCTATGGGAGACGAGGCGAGTTCGGGTTCCAGTGTAAGTCTTGGAGACCCGCAGTTGAAGGCTCTTCTCGAGGCCCTTGCGAGTGGCCGATTGGTGGCGAAACCGACGATCGGGCTCAGTGAAGCCCAGCGCTTCAACGGGAGCAACTACAACGTGTGGCGGAAGAAGTTCATTCGAAGGGCAGAGGAGGTGGACCTCTTGCCGTACTACCGTCCCGACGAGGAGACGATGGAGGGAGTTGCGCCTTCCACGACGGATACGAAGGAGAAAATAGCGGCGTTCAAGAAACAAAGTAAGCAAGCGTTCTTTCAGCTTTGTCACTCAGTTGCCGATGGAATCGCAGTGGATTTGGACCAGTTTGCAGGGGAGCTGAACTCTGCACAGCGAGCGTGGGAGTACCTGGAGTCCACGTACATGGGTACGAACGATGTAAACAAGAAGGCGATCAGGAAGCAACTGCTGATGCTGAGCATGGAGAAAGGCGAGAAAATCATCACCTACATCAACAGGGCGAAAAGCTACAACGACGATTTGCGGGTGATGGGATCCGCGGAGACGGAGCATGAGATGTTTGACTACATCATCCAAGGCCTTCCTAAGGAGTGGGAATCTGACATCGGTATGTTTACGTACCAACCGCCGGAGAGTTTGACGAAGCTGCAGGAGATTCTGCAATCGCTTGAGACGGTGAAGGAGATGAGGAAAAAGAAAGCGGTAGCAGCAGCTACGGAATTCGACGAGGAGAGGCCGGCTTTGGTGAATGCAACGAAGGCCTTTGGAGCGTGCTACCAATGTGGAAAGCGCGGTCATAAAGCGATAAACTGCTACGAAAATCCTCGAAGCAGAAACTACAAGGGCAAAGCTGTGGAGAACGATAAAGGAGAAAATGAGGGAGCGGAGTGGCAACAGAAACGAGGTTTTGGCGGAAAGTGCGACTATTGTGGGCGCTACGGGCATCGTGCCGCAGAGTGCTACTCCAATCCGAACAGCAGGAGCTACAAGGGTCCGTCGCAGCAGAGGAATGTGGCGGCTAAGGCGAATGTAGCAGAAGCGAACGAAGAGGATGTGATCCTTGGAGGAGCGCATCTTGCGAACGTGGTGCGTTTACCGAAGGATGTTCGTCAGACGGACGGACGTGAGAAGACGGCATGGTTCATGGACAGCGGATGCACGCGTCACATGACCTTCAAGTCAGATTGGATGGTGAATGTGAGGGAGTCGAGTGAGGATTATATACTGCAAGGTAACAGTGGGAAGTTATCAGTGACAGGAGAGGGTGACGTGGTGCTGCAGAGTCCGTATGCAGAGGTGAGACTAGAGAGTGTGCTGCTGGTTGAGGATTTGAAGGTGAACCTGATGAGTCAGTCACAGCTTGATGAGTTGGGGTGCAAGATATTATATGACAGAGGCGAGGTTACAGTGTTTGGTCTTGAGTGGGAGAAGTATGCGGATGGTTATTTCAGTGACGGGTTCTATGAGATGAACGTGATAGCGATGGACGATAAGGATGAGATTTATGCGGATCCTGAGTATACTGAGATGGGAGAATTGGAGAAGTTATCGACTGAGGATGATGAGAGTGAGGACTCGAAGGATACGGCAGCAAGTGTTGAGGCAGCAGTGAAGCAGGAAGAGGAGATAGTCACCATGGAGGCAGCAACACTGAATGGTGGAGATGGAGATGGTGTCAACACTTTTGCAGCAGCGATCATGGTTAAAGATGAAGCAGTAAATGCGAAGTGTGTGGGAGTCGAAGCTGTGAAAGGGGACATCATGGTGAAGGGATCAAAGGTGAAAGCAACTGCAAAGGGGCGAGTGCTTACGAAGGAGGAACACGTTGAGGGGTACGAGACCCGAGATGTGTTGGGTGTTAAGATGCCGAGGAGAAGTGAGAGGCTTAAGAAAATCTCTCAAGGTTTGGATGTCAAGGCGCTCAACTTCAAGACACGTAAGCAGAAGTTCAAGGTGCAGGAGCTGCAGGGGAGCATGAAGCCGACTTAGACCCTGTGAAGGCTACGAGGAGCAGGGGAGGAGTGCGAGTAGAGTTCGCGGTTGGCGAACCACAGGGGAGATTGTTAGGGTTGGTTCGCCCAACCACGGAACCTACGGCGAAATGCGGAATGACGGCGAAATGGAGCGCGTGGGAGATTTTAGATCTAAGACGGTGGAAATCGACCTACGGTGGAGAATAGAAGCTACGGCGTGAGAAGCGGGAAGGAAATCGACAAGGAATGTGCAGGAAGGAGGAATAGAGAAGGAGAAGCATCGAGAATGAGATCGACGGGGGAAATTGTGGTTCGAGCTTGAGGCGCGTTCGAGAAGGTTCGAGATTCGGACTCAAGAAGTGTTCGGTGCATTCGGTTCAGTTCCGTGTGCGACTCGGGGTGAAACGAGGCGCACGCGGTTACTTGGGAAACAAGTGAAGTTACGAATCGCATTTTGTGTCTTGCCTGACTATAAAACTGCTTGTACTCATTCTGGAAAACACAACATTGGACAACATTGAGATTCTGAAATTGCTGAAGTGTGTATTGACAACTTCAAGCAGAGCTGCGCATATCGTTGGATTTGGGAGATCGTGGAGAACACGATAAGCAATAGCAAGTAGACTATTGCCGACTAAGGTGTTTACGATCCTAAGAAGGCGAACATGAATAGAAGGCGACGGTAGAGAGGCGATTGCTTACCAAACAATTCCATTGGCAGAGGGAACGAGGAGTGTGCGGGACTGTCTGGATTAGACTACTCAGTACGTGTGGCTTTGCATAGAGAAAGTGGTGTGTGCAGTCCACGCAAGGGATTGAGACGGACTGGTTTTGCATGTCACGGCCACCTGGTGGGAAGGGCTTGAATTTCGAGCTGTGATGACGAGATGAGGTTGCTTGATAGTATTAGGTGAAGGGAAAAAGAAGCGCGTGTGGGAAGGGAAAGAGGGGCGCGGAATGGGAGGAAGGGGAGAGGCGCGTGATGGAGCCGGATTGAGGAAAGGAGAGAGGGGGGAGAGGAAAATGCGGGGGAAATTGGGGGGGGGAGGGGAAGACAGCGTGTGGGGACGGATTTCATGACGGGCGAATCTGGCGCGACGCGGATGCAAAGAAGGGCGGAAGTTGGGGCGAATGTGGCGCGACGCGGATTGGACGACGGGCGAATTTCATGACGACTTTGACGACGCGTCGGACTCACTTGGTTGTTTTCGCGTGTGGGAGGCGAGAAGCGAGCGAACATCGGTGTGGGGCGAGAAGGGCGATCATCGCCGTCGATGAAGATCTACATGGCGATGGTGAGCTGCTTCGCGAAGAAATCTCTGCGATGTGGCGAGGCGAAGTTGCTGGAGTTGTTGGCATCTCGTTCGCTGGGCCGCCGGCGGAGCCGACACGTGGGGAAACTTTGACGAGTCAGAAACCAGCACGTGTCAGCATCTGTATGCTCAATGCTTTGTAGGACGACGCTGGCCGCTGAAGCAATGGTGAGCTGAGCTAGCGCCGTCGATTTGAAACGCCGCCTTGCTTCGTTAAAGCCCAAGACCTGAATTACAAAAAAAGGAAGGCAAACTGTGCACAGTTTGCCTACCGAACCCACAGTTGACCTCCCGAGCCAGGCTGGTTACCAGAAAACAAAGCGCCAAAAAACAGAGTGTCGTAGAGCAGAACGGGTTTGGTTGGCGAGAGTCCCAACCACACCCACCTGAAGGAACAAGGGCTCAAAATGTGCACAGTTTGCCTTCTTTGGTAATTCAGGTCGTGCGATTTCCATAGTACGCGAAGCGATTAGATCATGCGAAGAGATAGAATAAAAAGCCACTAAAGCATAGGCCATGAGCATTTTCACCTTTAATCCTAGCCCATCCCCAAACATCGCATTTGGACCTATCGCCTTCCGCGTCCCCCACGCTTCTCCCCACCGTCTCTCACACACCTCCCCACGCACACGCCCACGCTTCCCCTCACCGTCGCCCACGCTTTCCCCCATCGTCGCTCACGCTTCCCCTTACCGCCGCTCACGCTTCCTCCTGCCTTCCCCCACGCTTCCCCACACCGTCGCTCACGCCTTCCCCCACCTTCCCTCACGATTCCCCTCTCATCGCCCACGGTTCCTCCTACCGTCGCCCACGCTTCCTCCCACCGTCACCCACGCTTCCCCCCACCGTCACCCACGCTTCCCCCCACCGTCGCCCAAGCTTCCCCCCACCGTCGCCCAAGCTTCCCCCCACCGTCGCCCACGCTTCCCCCCACCGTCGCCCACGCTTCCTCCCACCGTCGCCCACGCTTCCCCCCACCGTCGCCCACGCTTCCCCCCACCGTCGCCCACGCTTCCCCCCACCGTCGCCCACCGCCACCGTCGCCCACCGCCACCGTCGCCCACCGCCACCGTCGCCCACCCCCACTGTCGCCCACGCTTGCCCTCCCATCGCCCTCGGTTAGACTTCCCGTCGACCTCCCTTCTCTCCCACCTCTCTCCACGTCGTCATCACTCCCCTGCCCATCACGTTCCCCCTCTTCACCATCGCGTCTCCACCCATGTCGCCCACCCTCTCATCCCTTCCCATCGCATTTAGGGTCGTCGTTGTATCCCTTCCCCATTGCCTCGTTAGGTCGCTCACGCTCTCCCCATTACCACCTTCTCTACTCCTACCATAGCCCATGGTTACCACCCCACCCTTGCACCCTTATTTCCTTCTCTCTCATTCTCCCTCCCCATCAGCCTCTCACCCACCCTGGGCGGGGAGGTATGGCGAGCTGGGCTGGGAGCTGGGGAAGGGGTCGTGACTCGTTCGCTGTGGGGTGTGGAAGGGTGCGTGGTCAGCAGCACCCACCCTTCTCTCTCTTGCACTGACCTCCTCTCCTCTCTTGCACCAACCCCACACGCATGGCAGGTGGTGGTGCGGCTTTGGAGCAGAGTGTTTGGCGCACAGCCAGGGCAGCGCGTGCAGGCGGGCAGCAAGGAGTGCAGTGCTGCAGGGGGCGGGTCAGGGGAGCGGGGGAGGCGGGGCAGGGGAGGCGGGGGTTAGGGAGAGAGGGTGCAGGGATCCTCCTATCCCCCGTTCCACCCTTATACCCTACCACACTTTTACCTCCTGCCCTCCTCCCTTACTCCGTTCCGTCGTTCCCCCACAGTCGTCCTCCTCTCCCTCTCCCTTCCTCCCTTCCTCCATCATCTCTGCCTCACTACCCTCTTTACCCTCTCTGTTGCCCGTCCTCCCTTCCTCCCTTCCTCCATCTCTCTGCCTCCCTACCCTCTTTACCCTCTCTGTTGCCCGTCCTCCCTTCCTCCCATCCTTCTTTCCTGCCATTCTTCCTCTCCTCATCCTCCCTCGATCCAGTCCCCCTTCCCCTTTCCATCTCCCACTCTCCCACTCCCTTCCTCACGCCAACCCTGCTCCTCCGTTCCACCCTTCTACCTTCCCCCTTGTACCCAGCCGCACTTTTTCCTCTCATCCGCCCATCATCTCATCCGCCCATCACCTCATCCGCCCATCATCTCATCCGCCCATCATCTCATTTGCCCATCCTCTCATCCGCCCATCCTCTCATCCGCCCATCATCTCAATCGCCCATCCTCTCATCCGCCCATCCTCTCATCCGCCCATCATCTCATCCGCCCATCATCTCATCCGCCCATCATCTCATCCGCCCATCATCCATCCGCCCATCATCTCATCCGCCCATCACCTCATCCGCCCATCACCTCATCCGCCCATCATCTCATCCGCCCATCATCTCATCCGCCCATCATCTCATCCGCCCATCATCTCATCCGCCCATCATCTCATCCGCCCATCATCTCATCCGCCCATCCTCTCACCGTTGCCCACGCTTCTGCCTTAGTGCCTTTCCGTGCTCTCTCTCCCCTACCCACGCTTCATCTCGCTCACCCTTCCGCCCTTCCTCCGTGTCTCCCTTGCTCATTTTCTGCCTCCGTGCATTCTTTGTTCCCCACCCACCATCAGAGTTTGTGGTTCGTGTCTGTGCAGGTCTGCCATGCATCCAGTTGTGATGAGTATAGGGTTTGATAATATTAGTTGTCTACAATAGCTATGCCATGTACCGTTATTGAAGTTGGTTGGATGCGTCTCATAATACACCACATCGTGATTTGGAGCATTATGAAAACGTGCAACAAAGCAAAATAATGTTCCATTTATGTTGCCAAGACAAGACTATAAGCACAAGCACAAAGCTAGGAGGTGGTAACTTTTTAACCCACTCCTGTTGGGACCCATGGTGCTGGCACTTGTACACGCATGGTTCTGTATGGAACGGGGAGGGAAGAGGGGATATGGCAGAATAAGCGAGGGGTGAAGGTGGAGGGCATGTATGGGAGGAGTTAGGCAGAGGAGTGAGCGAAGCGGGGAACAGAGTGAGCAGGGTGGTGAAGGCGGTGAGCAAAGGGGATAGCCAGTAAGCATGGGGCTAAGGAGGGGAAATGAGAGGACTTGGGGGGGGAAAAGGGTTGAACAAAGGGGAATAGAGAGTAAACAGGGTGGAAAGATGGGTGAGTACAGGGGGGAAGAGAGTGACCAGAGGGGGAGAGAGTGAACAAGGGGTAAGGGAGTGAGCAGGGGATTTTAGGGGCGAGCACAGGGGGAAATAGACCGAGCAGGGGGGAAGTGGGTGAGAAAGGGGGAAAGAGGGATGAGAACAGGGGGAAAGAAAGTGAGCAGGGGGGAAGAGAGTGAGCAGGGGGGAAGAGAGTGAGCAGGGAGGGAGAGAGTGGGTATAGGAGTGAGCCGGGAAAACAGGGGCGAGCAGAGGGGGTAAGAGAGCGTGAAGGGGGGAAATGGGGGAGGTGAAGGCGACGGGAGGGGGAAGTGAAGGCGACGGGAAGGGGAAGTGAAGGCGACGGGAGGGGGAAATAAAGGAGACGGGAGGGGAAGTGAAGGCGACGGGGAGGGGGAAATGAAGGCGACGGGAGGGGGAAGTGAAGGCGACGGGAGGGGGAAGTGAAGGCGACGGGAGGGGGAAATGAAGGAGACGGGAGGGGAAGTGAAGGCGACGGGGAGGGGAAAATGAAGGCGACGGGAGGGGGAAGTGAAGGCGACGGGAGGGGGAAGTGAAGGCGACGGGAGGGAGAAGTGAAGGCGACGGGAGGGGGAAGTGAAGGCGAGGGGAGGGGGAAGTGAAAGCGACGGGAGGGGGAAATGAAGGAGACGGGAGGGGGAAGTGAAGGCGACGGGAGGGGGAAGTGAAGGCGACGGGAGGGGGAAGTGAAGGCGACGGGAGGGAGAAGTGAAGGCGACGGGAGGGGGAAGTGAAGGCGAGGGGAGGGGGAAGTGAAAGCGACGGGAGGGGGAAGTGAAGGCGACGAGAGGGGGAAGTGAAGGCGACGGGAGGGGGAAGTGAAGGCGACGGGAGGGGGAAGTGAAGGCGACGGCAGGGGGAAGTGAAGGCGACGGGAAGGGGAAGTGAAGGCGACGGGAGGGGGAAGTGAAGGCGACGGGAAGGGGAAGTGAAGGCGACGGGAGGGGGAAATGAAGGAGACGGGAGGGGAAGTGAAGGCGACGGGGAGGGGGAAATGAAGGCGACGGGAGGGGGAAGTGAAGGCGACGGGAGGGGGAAGTGAAGGCGAGGGGAGGGGGAAGTGAAGGCGACGGGAGGGGGAAGTGAAGGCGACGAGAGGGGGAAGTGAAGGCGACGGGGGGGAGAAGTGAAGGCGACGGGAGGGGGTAGTGAAGGTGACGGGAAGGGGAAGTGAAGGCGACGGGAGGGGGGAAAGTGAAGGCGACGAGAGGGGGAAGTGAAGGCGACGGGAGGGGGGGAAGTGAAGGCGACGAGAGGGGGAAATGAAGGCAACGGAAGGGGGGAGAGGGGGGGGGGGGGGGGGGAGTGAAGGCGACGGGGGGGAAGTGAAGGCGACGGGCAGGGGTCGCGAACGCGACGAGCTGCGGAAGCGATGGCGACGACGCGGGCGACAGAGAGCGGAAGCGTGGGACCTAGGGAAATGAAAGCGAGGGCGAGGGGAGGGTCACGCTTGGGCGAACGGGTGCGATTCGATTTTCGCCGCGAGTTTACGCTACGCAGTAGTTGCACAATAAAATGCATTTCGACACAAAAATCTTCACCCAGCGAGCACTAGCTTTGCGCGTCATCATCAAAATCCGCGCCACCCACATCGTAAGGCGCATCTGATCCCTTTTGAGTGAACGCCGACGCCCTGCCCTGTCTACAGGTATGGTCTATGCCTAATTCTCTGCCGACACCCTGCCCTGTGCACAGTTTGGTATGCACGTGCTTTTCTGGTTGTGGGGAGGACCCCACCCATCATGGGAAGCGAGAAACTTTTGTCGCAAAATGGTTTCGCGAGTGAAAGTCTCTCGCAACCCAACCGAACCTCTCCGTGCCTGCCTCCCGAACCTAGTTTTTAGCGTTGACTTCCGTTGAGTAATTCAGGTCTTGGGCTTTAAAGCTGTCCCGATCGAGCAATGAACCTGGCAGTGGGATGGAACAACAGGATCCGAAAGAACTAAGCTGAGTTCTTCATGCATCAATATCAACTAAACTTCTACATATGGTCAGATTTTAGTAAAACACTCTCGGCATCCTATATTACAACCCCCCACATCAACAGCGCAAATCCGCACGTCTTTTCTCTGAACAGCCAAAAAGCAACACCTAAAGAATTTTGGCATAGCAGACCGACGGCGTGAGCCCACCCCCCCACCGCCACCACACCTTCACCTCCTCCAGCCTTACTCTACTCTACTTCCAGTTCTTCCTCGTCAACCTTATGCTGGTTCTCCGCACCAATCTGCTCCTTCTGCTCGCCCTCCGTCTCAATATCATTCTCTGTCCCCTCCTTCTCCTTCACCTCCTCTACCTCTGCTTTTACAGGTCCGCTATTGCCTGCCGCACCTACCATTGCAGCAGCAGCAGCTTCGGCAGCAGCTTTGGCTGCCACCTCTCCGGGAGGGGGGTGGTCAAACTTACAAGTCACCCCGTATTTGCAGGTGCCAGTCTGAGGGGAAACAGTGCGACGAAATTCGAAGGGGAGGTGGGGGGAGGAGAGGGGTAGGGGTGGGAGGTGGTGGAGGAGAGGAACCAGGGACATGGGAGGTATGAGAGGAGGGAGAGGTGAGAGGTGAGAGGAGGGAGGTGAGAGATGAAAGGTGAGAGGTGATTGGTGGGAGGGCAGGCAACAAGAGGCTGTTACTGAACAGAAGCGGAAGAAGGGAATCAAGGAAGGGCTTGGTTTACAGTCCAAGAGCGAGTACATGCATCACATGATGCCACCGTCAGGAAATGAGCAGGAGACTACACTGCAAAAGGACATGGAGAGCTAGTGGGGAAATTTTTGAATATTAGCATTGTAAATGATAATTATGAAGGAAAAAAAAATTGGAAACGTGAAGGGAAAACTGGAGGTGAAATACAGTAGGCTATGGAGAGACACAGACAGCAAGAGTGGAAGAAACAGGGACGTGGTGTGAGAGAAAGTGCACCTTGATGTAAAAGGCACATGTCACCGCTTCCTGAAAGAAATGGAGGGGGAAGCAGCACAAGACACAGAGAGAGTGGTGTGTGAGGTAGTCTGGTAAGGTGCGGGCTACTAAGGAAGGACAAACAAAATCACAAAACTGCTGCATTTGTTATCTGAACAATAGGAAAGAATTGATTTAAAAAAAGACGGTAGGCCAGAGGAAGACCGCAAGACAACACGCAGTAGGGCGGGGAAGATGAGTATGGAAGTACTGGGGAAATATCATTGGGGTAAATTGGTGGGGGAAGAAGGCAAAGAATAAGGGTGCTGGTGAGTAAGGGAAATGAAAGAAAACAAGGAGTAGAGAGAGGTGCGGAAGAGGTAGGTGGGTAGGTGGGTGGGTAGGTAGGAAGGTAGGTAGGTAGGAAAGTAAGTAGGTAGGTGGGAAAATAGGTAGGTAGGTAGGAAAATAGGTAGGTAAGCGGGTTGGTTACAGGGTATAGCGGCAAGTAAGTAGGCAGGGTTTAGGGTTGCAGCAGAGAGAGAGTGACCTCTGGGTGCTTACCTTGCGGCGAGGGAGGCCTGCAGCAGAGAGCGTCACTCCCGCTGGCAGCAGGCCGGCAGCAGCTGCAGCAGCAGCAGCATGAGAAGGAGACGGAGAGGCGGTGGCAGCAGCATGGTGCCGAAACACAGGATGCATGGGTGGAGAGGAGGACAGGTGCACATGAGAAGGCGGAGGGAAGAACATAGCCGGTCCTCTTGCTCCTCCACCTCCCCCTCCTCCTCCGCCTGCTCCTCCTCCCATTCCCCCACCGCCCAGTGGGAATGGCAATGGTGATGGTGAAAGGTGATGCTGCTGCTTCTGCTGCTGATGCTGCTGCTGTGGGGGATGGTGGAACTTGCAGGAAGGCCCGTACTTGCAGCTTCCAGTCTTCACGTAAAACTGGTATGACGGGAGGAAAGGTAGGTAGGTGGTGAGATGAAGTGACTAACATGCATCAACAATGGAAGTGGAAGAGTGTGAGAAAAACGAAGATCAGTGCTGGACAGGGGACAGGGGGCAGGGGGCAGGGTGCAGGGGACAGGGGGCAGGGGGCAGGGGGCAGGGGGCAGGGGGCAGGGAACAGGGGGCAGGGAACAGGGGGCAGGGAACAGGGGGCAGGGAACAGGGGGCAGGGAACAGGGGGCAGGGGGCAGGGGGAAGGGGGAAGGGGGAAGGGGGCAGGGGGCAGGGGGCAGGGGGCAGGGGGCAGGGGGCAGGGGGCAGGGGGCAGGGGGCAGGGGGCAGGACAGGCTGATGCACCAGTCACTCACTGCGCATTCCGGCTGCCCTGGCCGCTGCGGGAACTGCTGCTGCTGCTGCAGCTGTTGCAGCTGCTGCTGGTGGTGCTGGTGAAGCTGCTCCTGCTGCTGCTGGTACTGCTGTTGTCGGTGCAGCTGCAGGATTGATATGGGTGACGCGGTGGGTGGCAGCAGCGGGAGGGAGGGGCCTGGGGAGAGCACGCCAGACTGGTGCGGAAGGAGCTGGAGGAGAGGGAAACAGTGGGGAGGAATGGGGATTCTAAGAGTGCGGTTATGATGGGTGCAAGGAGCTTGCAGCAGGGGGTGAGCGTCGCAGCATGGCACGGAGGGAGGGGCCTGGGGAGAGCACGCCAGACTGGTGCGGAAGGAGCTGGAGGAGAAGGGGAGACGGAACGGAAGGAAGGAGATAAATGAGAGCTCTCAAGAGTCTAAGGCTGTAAGCAGCGAACAGGGATCAGAGAGAGCTTTGATGGGTGTACGGAGTGGAAAGGGGATCGAACAGAGCTTCTAATGGAAGGATTGTTTGAATCTCGCATCGACAAAACGGATGGGAGTGTCGGTGTGTGTTGTATGCACGAGTGCATGTAAACAAGGGGGAAATATAAGGCGGCGGGTTGATGGCATGGTGGCAGCGTGGCGGAGCAGGTGGCAGAGTGGGTGGCAGAGTGGGTGGCAGAGTGGGTGGCAGAGTGGGTGGCAGAGTGACTGGGTGGCAACAGTGAGAGGAACATGGTCGTCAAAAAGCGATTCGTGGCACCTCAACTCACAACTCACGTCTATAACAATACGCCCGTTAACAGATGGAGACGGGAAGCATGCTCTGAGTCGACTCAAAAACACAAATCAGAACTCGCGTCATGAACAATATGCCCGTTAACAGATGGAGACGGGAAGCATGCAGGGAGGATTGGAAGAAGAGGAGCAGAGGGGACGAGAAGCATGGTGCAGGGAGCGGCATAAGATGCAAGATGGCAGGATAGCTCACCCTTTGTGGGAGCAGAAACGGTGATTGCACTGGGGAACCTGAGAGCATGAAGATGGGAGAGGCAGCAGGAGAGACAGGAAGAGCGAGAGTAGTCAGATGGATAGGCAAAAAAAAAAAGGAAGACGTAAAGACATATGAACGTACATACGCACAGACAGACAGACAGACAGACGGACGGACGGACGGACGGACGGACGGACGGACGGACGGACGGACGGACGGACGGACGGACGGACGGACGGACGGACGGACGGACAGACAGACAGACAGACAGACAGACAGACAGACAGACAGACAGACAGACGGACGGACGGACGGACGGACGGACGGACAGACAGACAGACAGACAGACAGACAGACAGACAGACAGACAGACAGCCAGCTGCAGAGCCACAGAGACACAGAGAGACGCACGGAAGAGAGCAGGAGCAGAGGGGCGGGCACTGGCCATCGCATTGGCTGCTGCAGCAGGTGACGTGAGGGCGGATGGCTCTGGATGGTTGAAGCAGCAGTTCTGACTGAACTTGCAGCTGCGGAGGGGAGGGGGAGTGGGGAAGGGCAAGGAGGGGGAGTGCGGTTGGGAGGAGTGGGGCGGGGAGGAGATGAAAATATTAATTTAGAGAGTGGCAGAGCATCCTTGGGGACAGAAGGAGGTCGAGAGGAAAAAAACACTTACGAAAAAAAAAAAAAAAAAAAAAAAAAAAAAAAAAAAAAGAGCAAGGAAGGGGGGGTGGGGGGGGTGAGGGGCTTAGGCTTGGGGAAGCAAGGAAGAAAATGCCAGGTAAGGCAGGGGGAGGGTGGAGGAGGAAGTTTCGAGATGGGAGGGATGGAATGGAATGCAGGAAGAAAGAGCATGAAAAAGAAGGCTGTCTGATAGTAACAATGAAGCGCAAGATTCCGAAACAGATTCTGAGCATGGAATGGATTGAAGGGGGAAAAAGGAGGCTCAGAGAATGCAGGTTCCGAAAAAGAGGCACGTCTAGATGAGCTAGATCTCCAATTGTATGCATGTACCTTCCATTCTTCAGGTAGAAAGCACAGCCTGTCTCTCCCTGGCACACACACAAGCACACACTCTCCCATTCCCCCCACAAACACATGCACACCCATCCAACAACACATGTGCACAGCACACACACACTCCCATCCCCCACACACACGCACACACCCGTCCCATCCCATCCAACAACACATGTGCACACACACACTCCCATTTCCCACACACACACAAGTGTACGCAACACAACACACAGATGCGACATACACACACACGCGCGCGCGCGCGCTCACACACACACACACACACACACACACACACACACACACACACACACACACACACACACACATAGCAGAGGCATGGATGATTTTGATACATCACTTCTGAACATACACGGGAAGAGGGGCATAGAACAGAAAACGGAATAACACAAACGCAGGGCAGTTGCCTTGCTGTGAAATGGGGCTTTTGAGACGTCTCAAAAGGGCACTTGCCTTGCTGTGAAATGGGGCTTTTGAGACGTCTCAAAAGGGCACTTGCCTTGCTGTGAAATGGGGCTTTTGAGACGTCTCAAAAGGGCACTTGCCTTGCTGTGAAATGGAACCCTGCAGGAACAACCCCCCTCCCTCCCCCTCCCTCCCCCCCCCCCCCCCGTCCCCGCCCCCCTCTGTTCCGTTCATCCACACCCCCCGTCTCCCCTCCTTCCATCCACTACACTACACCCACCAAGTCCAACACCAGAATCAACAGAGCACTTGCCAAGTGCCCTTTCTTAACTCTCCTCTCCCATCCCTCTTACCTCTTATCCCCGAAACCCCCTTCTCCTTGCCCCATTCCCACTTACCACCGTCCCCCCTTCTGCGCACCACCGGCCGAAGAGGCAGACCCACTGAGTTGAGCGCAGCTGGCCTGCCTAACTGCCCCTTGCCCTTGTCCCCACTGGCACCACCTCAACCACTAGCACCGCCCGCACTGGCACCACCACCCGTTCCCCCATCCCCCCACCACAGTGCTAACTCACTCACCGGCCTGAGAGGCAGACCCACTGAGTTGAGCGCGGCTGGCTTACCAAACTGCCCCTTGCCCTTGTCCCCACTGGCGCCGCCGCTACTAGCACCGGCACCACTAGCACCACCCCCACTAGCACCGGCACCACTAGCACCGGCACCACTAGCTTCGGCACCACTAGCTTCGGCACCACTAGCATCGGCACCACTATCACTAGCACCACCACCACTGCTCTTCTCTCTACCTTCCAAAGTAGCACCCTTTCCGCCTTCCTCCCCCTCACTCTTCTCCTTCCCCTCCTTTTCCTTCCCTTCCTCCTCCTCCTCTTCCCCAACACCCTTCTCGTCCCCATCACCCTCCTCGCCGGCCAATCCCTTAGTCTCCTCCTCACCACTCCTTTCACCCCCACCTGCTCCTGCTCCTCCTCCTTCTTCTGCTGCTGCTGTTGCTGCTGCTCCTCCTTCTGCTGCTGCTGCTGTTGCTGCTGCTGTTGCTGCTGCTGCTGCTCCTGCTGCTGCAACGCTATTCTTCGGACGTTCCGCAGGGCCTACCATTGCCGCTGCAGCGGCTGCTGTTGATGCGGCGGCCGCCGCAGCAGCGGCTGTGCTTTCCTGCTTGTCGTTCACATGAGAAGCCCCTGCGTTCGACTGCTGTTTCTGCTGCTGCTGCTGCTGCTGCTGGCGGTCCGGCGGGTGATTGAATTTGCAGGTCGCACCAAACTTGCATGTCCCGGCTTTCATGTAAAACTGTAGGTGGCAGGTGGAATGCAATGCAGGGAGGACGCAAGGGCGCAGGGACGGACGGAAGGGGTTGACTTTTGAGTCGACTCAGAAGTCCCCTCGCTCCAAACTTGCATGTCCCGGCTTTCATGTAAAACTGTAGGTGGCAGGTGGAATGCAATGCAGGCAGGACGCAAGGGCACAGAAACAGAGGGAAGGGGTTGACTTTTGAGTCGACTCAGAAGTCCCCTCGCACCAAACTTGCATGTCCCAGTTTTCATGTAGAATTGCAGGTGGCAGGGGGGATGCGGGCCGGGCAGGACACAAGGACGGAAAGACGGAGGGACAGAGGGATGGAGGGACGGAAGGACGGAGGGAGGGAGGGATGGCAGAGCCACACGCGGTATGGACGAACACACACGCATGCACGCAGGAAGGGGGAGAATGGGGAGGGGAGGAGCGAGTTGAGGGGTTGGAGGAGGGGGAAAGAGGACAGAAAGTGCAGCGAGAGAGAGGGGAGGGGAAGGGGGGGAGTGTGGGAGGAGGAGCAGGGAGCGGAGGAAGATGAGGGGCAAGACTAGTTCCGTTCATTGGACCGTATAAAGGCAGAAACACTGGTGGGAAAGGAGGTGTATAGAGAGTGCGGAGTAGGTAAGACAAGGAATCAAGTGGCGAATTGGGAGAAGCGTGGGGGTGTGGGTGGGGGGAGTGGGGAGAGAAAAGGCTGGGTGGGATTCTGGTGGGGGGGAGAGGGAGGGGCCGAAGGGGCGGAGAGGGGGGAAAACGGGAAATCGTAGAAAGCGGAAAACAACATACCGCACAGTCCGGTTCACCAGGCCTCTCTGGATAAACCGCCGCTGCCGATCCTCCAGGGATTTTTCCAAACAGACCCCCTATACCTGCTCCCCCTCCCCCTCCTCCTCCTCCTGCTCCTGCTCCGAATGCCGCTACAGGCATCACTCCTAACATGCCCGCCGAATCCCAATTCCCCCCAGAATAGGAGTAAGAATAACCACCAGCTGCTGCTACCATTGCGGCTGTCGCCACCGCCACCGCTGCTGTAGCAGAGGCAGACGCGTTCGGGTAAGCGGCAGAGGCGGATGGGGCGAACGGGGCAGACGGACCGGAGGGGCCGGAGGGGGCGGAAGAGGGGGAAGGAGCGGCGGCGGAAGAGGAGGGGGTGCGCGGGGGGTGGTGGAATCGACATGTGGCGCCGAAACTGCACTTGCCATGTCGCATGTAGTACGCACACTCTTTCTCCCCTGGCCTGACCGGATATAGCGCCTGCTCCTGCTCTTCCTGCTGCTGCTGCTGCTGCTGCTGCTGGGATGTGGAATAGTATGCTTCTTTGCCAGGGCCCAGACCTGTGGCGTTTGAGTCGTAGTAGGCGCTACTGGGGAAGGTAGAACCAGCGTCAGCGCCAGATGATAGGTAGAGGGAGGAGGGGTATGAGGGGTCAGAATGGGAGGATGGAGGGAGAGGAGTGGGATTGGTGTTGCCGAAATGAAGACGTTTGGAAGGGTACTCGTAATAGCTATGGTGGGAGGAAGGGAAAACACCTGTAGTTTCTTTTTATTATTAACAATTTCCACACCATAGTTGGGAGGAATTATGACAGTAAGAATAGAGACAAAAAGGATTTAGTAGAGAAATATAGCATGATAAAACAACGTGCGAGTCAAGTAATATGTGACAGAGGCATATAAGATATAATAACACGACGGAAGTTCAAGAGATTGAAACGCGGGAAGGGGTACATGCGGTGTAGCGAATAAGGAGGGGTATTACCCGATTAATAGTGGTTATTATGGTGGTGGAGGGAGCGTTTGGTATATGCACCGTTGCAGTGGCATACACCATATAAAGTGGAACCCATGCCAGTTATGGTTGATGCATAAGAGGCACACGAACAGACCACTCACACCACACATAAATAGAAAAGTGCATAACCACGTTAACAGATACGCACCATGCACATTCAGACATGCATACAGATAGAAACACACAAGGACAAGAGTCGACACAAACACGCATAATTATTTATCAATCTGACCCGACTGAGCAATAAGCGAAAGCATATACACCCAGTTTTCTCGTTTATTTCCAAACATTCAAACAGTGATGAAATGATAATAAAGCAAACAATCTCAAACTAAGCAAGCCTATGACTCAAATTTGCTCCTAAATCTTACCCTAGACGTATTATCCGTTCCCACTGCACCCTCAGCACGCGACATGTAGGAGAAAAAGAAAACACAGTCGAAAGCTAAGAACCAAGAAACCCATGGCTCGGCTCAGTAGCGCACCTGAATCGAGGCCTCGCTTATTCATCCCTCGCATTGCACCGTCTGCATACGACGCTTCCGCATAGCCCTGGGAAGAGTAAGCACCGGCCGAGCCATACGCGGTATAGCCTGATCCATGACCGTCGCGCATGCCAGACTGCTGAAGCAACGCCGATGATGGGTTGTAGTAACTCTGCTGCTGCTGCTGTTGCTGCTGCTGCTGCTGCTGCTGCTGCTGCTGCTGCTGGTGTTGCTGGTGATAGCCTTGCTGTTGCTGCATGTAATTTGACGGATTAGACCCGGCACCGTAGGGATCTAATGATGACCTGCAGCGCGTGGTGATAAGGGTCCATTCTGAGCTTCACGGTAGATTGAGCGAATTTCGATTAGCAGGTAGCTCACTACAGCGAGATGAACTCTAGGAGAGAAACGAGGAGAAACTGGATACTAGGGCTGTTGAACCGCGACAACAGCGGCGGGACATCAGCACGCAGGCGAATGGCGGTAAGACGAGGATAGCCAGTGGATGTATTTTTCCGTGCTGGATAAAACGGTGGGCCAAGGTTTTGCCGTGGTGGTAAGAAATCCAAGAGCCATGTGAACTTGGAAGTAAGGGGCTGGTGGGGAGGGAGGGGGGGTATGGTGGGTCTCGATTCTCGACGCATGTCCAGCCTTGTGTGGAAGTGATCCAAATTCTTTATACAGTAATCTGGATAGTTCAGATTCTCAATTGCTTACACATTCTGAACAAAATCAATACGTTTGGTTTGCAACCAGTAGTTGGATTTGCAGGCGTTGCCTCAACAAATGTTACGCTAGAACACCTGACTTGGTGATTGTAATCTTCTTGTACGGGCGATAAAACCCCCTCTCTGCTACTGTAGCCCTGGTATCTCCTATCAATTTCGCAGCTCTGCAAGAACGTAGGGGCAAAGGACGACAGCGAAAGAAGCAATGTGGAAACGGGTTAAATACTCTAGATGCAAGACAGAAGAAATCTAAGAAGAAACAAGAAATTGCGGGACGATACAGTACAGCTCAGGTGAAGGTTAGGTGAATGGGATAGGTGTATAGGGTAGGTACACACAACATAAGTTACCGAAAAGAACATGGGCATAAGAAAGGTACAAGCAAGCCCAAGTAAGGGCACAGTGCGCAGTGGAGGGAAGGGGAGGTGGACAGATAGGGTCAAGGACAAGTGAAACAGAAACACCAATAGCAGTCGCAATAACCAGAACAAAAACAACTGCCATCGCAATAGCAGTCGCAGTAGCAATCACCATAACCACAAACACAGCAATATAATTCACATAGCGGTAACCGAAACCAAGGGAAACAGCCAGAGTCAAGATTACTAACTTGAAGAAGCCATTGCCAGCGCCGCCCCGCACAAACGGCACCTCCCGAACCTTCTCCAGAACTCCAAATCAAGTTTTGAGGCGCCTCAAAACAGCCAGAGCCATGTATACTCACTTGAAGAAGCCATTGTCTGTGTTGTCCCGCACAAACGGCACCTCCCGAACCTTCTCCAGAACTCCAAAACTATCCAGCGAGCTGATTTTCTAGTCGACTCAAAAGTCAAAACGAAACAGCCAGAGCCACGGATACTCACTTGAAGAAGCCATTGTCTGTGTTGTCCCGCACAAACGGCACCTCCCGAACCTTCTCCAGAACTCCAAAGCCATCCAGCACCCGTCCCACCACCAGGTGCGTGGAGTCTAAATCGGGGCAGTCTGTAAAGGAGACGGCAAACTCAGTGCCGTTGGGGGCCGGTTTCAACGCCTCCTCCACCACCTCAAATTTCCCCCCTCGTGCCACCAGCTTTTGCTTCGGAGGGGGGATGGTTGGGTCGACGGCAAACAGAGCGACGGAGTAGGCTTTGTTGTAGACTGGCCCGGGCTTTGCGCTGGGACAATGGGGGAGGGGAGGAAGGGGGGGAGGAGGATGGGAAAAATGAGTTTTGGGTCGGACCCAAAAGGGCAACAGAGTAGCCTTGTTGTATACGGGACCGGGCTTAGCTGGGGAAGGCGGGACGGGAGGTGGAATTCGAGGGGGGGTTGAGTTTTGAGTCTGACATAAAAAGGCAACGGAAAAGGCTTTGTTGTAATCAGACCACCACCAAAACCTGCAGCAGCAGCAGCAGCACCACCACTACCACCAGCACCACTAGCATCACGCGCCACAGGCACAGATCGCAGGCAAGCTGCTCGCAAACGCAGCAGGATCAGCAGCAGAGCCAGTGAGAGAGAAGGAGCGCGGGGCGCCGCCCCACACCAGTCCCCACATCATCCCCACACCATCCCCCAAACCACCCCCCCCCCCCCCCATCGCATACATCTGCAGCTGCTGCAACTCCTCTGCAACGGCATCCCCGTTTAAGCCGCCGACAAACGCAGCGTGGTCTGCAGCAGAGCCGGTGAGGGAGAGAAGGAGCGCAACGCGCCCCCCCACACCAGTCCAAAAACCTCCCCCACACCACCCCCCACACGTACATCTGCAGCTGCTGTAGCTCCTGTGCGACCGCATCCGCGTTCAAGCCGCCGACAAAAGCAGCAGGGTCAGCAGCAGAGCCGGTGAGGGAGAAGGAGCGCAGGGCGCCGCCCTGCACGTAGGAGTCGGTGAGGCGGAGGAAGTCCTTGCGCCGGTACGACACGCCCGCCACGCCCCTGGCCAGCTGGGTGAAGCGCGCTGCTCCCACTGGCGCAGCCTGGGGGGAGGAGGGGGGACAAGGGGAGGCGGGGAAGTGGGTGAGGCGGAGGAAGTCCTTGCGCCGGTACGACACGCCCGCCACTCCCCTGGCCAGCTGGGTGAACCGCGCTGCTCCGATTGGCGCGGCCTGAGGGGAGAGTGGAGGGGTGGAATGCCGAGGAGAGCGCTGGAGTGGAGTGGGGGGGTGGGGAGGGGAGGGGGGGATGGTCAGTTGGCTTTCGAGCTGCACGGTTCACATGTCGCACTCGCTGCATTGCGTTGCATTGCAATGGAGGAAGGGGGGAGTGCCGAGGAGCGCGGTTCTCGTGGCTTTGCGTTGGTGCGCCTGATTTTCCTCTGACGTTTGCGCTCCTTGGGTGCACCGCACGGCACTGCATTGCATTGCATTGCATTGCGTTGCATCTCACTGGACTACCTTTCATTGCATTCCCATCACCTCTGAACCCCTCTCAACCCATCGCGGCGGCCTCGCCTCTCCCCAGTCCCCGCACCTCACCTCGCACATCGCCTCCCACGAGACCCATAACACTCCAACCTCAGCTTCCCCCCTTCTCGCCGCTCCTGTTCCCCCCTCAGCCTTCTTCCCTCCCTTTTTCCCCCTCTCAACCCTCACCGCGTTGCCATACCTCGCCGTATACGCCTATCACCAGCCGTCCAGCAGGCGCACCGTCCACGGCAATATCGAGAAACACCTTCTCCGTCACTCGCGGCGCGTCCCCCGCCGCGGATCCCGCCGGCGACCCCGCCGCCACTTCTTCTCCCGCCACCTCCACCGCTGATTCCTCCGCTCCCGCCATTCGCGGCGCCATCAGCAGAGTCGGCGCGATCGCCAGCGCTCCGAGAACTTGCCGCCGGCACAGCGCATCGTCCGCCGCGTTGCTACCAGCGCGAATTGCGGACGGCCGGTGATTATTATCGGCAGCAGCGACAGCGTGCGATGGTCGACATAGCGACTTCTTTACGAGACCCGCGGAGCGGAGCGGTAGCAGCGAGGCCGCATTGCGCAGTCCGCCTCCGCCGAGTGCGGGGGACGACGCGCGGAGCGCGGAGTGCGGGGATGCGGAACACGCCTGAGCAGCAGGAGAAGCCAGGGCCTCCATGCGGAGAGAATGCGGGCTCTTGCGTGGGTTACGCGGGCAAGGGCTAATTCTGCTTTCGCTGGGAGAAAAGATGTCCCGCAGAGCAGAGGAGAGTGGTTTGGTTTGCCTTCACTGTCACTCGAAATTACTCAAATTGGCACATTGTTGTGACTATGCTGAAGTGTCGATTTCGGGGGCCGTGAGTGAAGCAACGCCAATCGAACGTCTCTGGTTGGGAGTGCTCTGGCTGACACGATGCATGCATCTACAGAGTTGAATTCAAATAAATACATCCTGCATCGTTTTCCATTAGAGTATATGCATTGGACCTGTCTTATTAGAAATTAATGTTCATTTTACGCTGTAAATTTTCTGGATAATTCGTAATAATCCATCTTTTTCTAAAAACAAATGACGTTCAAAATCGTTATGAATGTAGAAAAGGGCGAATGGAGTTGAATGGCAACAAGAAAGATATATTTCTGCTAAGCTGAGACCTTTTTTACTAATAAAAGTTTGTGGGTTGTACCTAAATGGGAACACTGACTCCACAAGGGATTCCTAGTATAAGGGCGTGTAAAATCGCCGCACCCAAAATTTCGGCCACTAGCCAAATGGCCGAATCGGCGATAGTAACCCGTTTGCGAGAATCAATAAGACGCTCGCGACCGTCGTTTATTCCGCCAATAAAAAATGAAATTGATGGCCGTTTTGAAAGTCGACTCGTATCCGACACCATGTCGACTCCAATTCGGCTAAGTAGTCGACACCGTGAGCGACTATCACGTACGACGTCGCACGGTCTCGCAGAACGACTGAAATGTTTTATCCTGTCCAATCAGAGGTTTCGCCGTCAAATGTGCGACCCCGTCGCACATACGTTCCTACTGTAGCAACTGCAAATTTTACAACTTTTTGAAACCGGCCTGGAATTCGGCCCTCAAACCTGTAAAGTTTGCAAATCTGCAAATAGTGGCTGTAAATGTGACGACACGAAGTCGACCAATCCGTCGACTTTCGCGAAAGAAATGTCGACCAGAGATGGTCGACGTAAAACCGGCCAAAAGCAGATTTCGCATATTTGTGGGGATTTTACACGCCCTAATGGCAGTCAGGAAGCTTGAAACGAACAAGTTGCCGCTCTTGCCAAGTATATCGCCGTGAGGTTGTCAAGTTCCTTGAATTCGAGCCTTTCCCGTCAAATGCTTCGTTGCTTGTGCAATAATAATTCAGGCCTTCTATCCTGATAATTTCGTCCCTCCTGATTATTTCAGCGCTTTCCAAAATTGGTCACATGCTGTCAGCCCCTGTGACGTCCTTCTTGCGTGTTTCGGGAATTCGGTCAAGGAGATAGGGAGAGAGCGAGCGAGGGAGCTCGGGGAGAGTAGGGAAAGCAGCAGCGAGGGAAGGAGGGAGAGAGCAGATTAGTGCTCGTACGTAGCGTGCAAATACAAAAAGGTAGTCAGGAGTCTTAGGTGGAATTTTAGGGGACCTAGGCTGCGAAGGCCTTCAGTTCGTAACTTCTGTTCGTTAGGTTCGGATGGAGAAAAGAAGCCCTATAAACGGGATACGGAACTACGAGGGTGTTTGGTAGTAGAAGCAGAATCCACAGTGCTTCAGCAGCAACAGCAGGAGCAGCAGCGAGAGCAATAAAAGGAGGTTACGAACCGGTTCAGCCGCTTATCTTGGTGCTTTCTGGTGGATTTTCTCGACTCTGATCGCTTCTCACAGATCCCTGCATCCAATGAAACCTCTCCGTTTCCCGCGGCTTCTTGAAATTCTAGGCTGCTGATTCGTTCCAGGCCTTAGTGTGAGCCAAGGCAACGCGTTTGCCTCTGGGGAATTTTTAGAGCTTTGCCTCAAAAGTTAGTAGTTAGTTCGTTGTGGTGCTTAGTGGTTCGTGTCTCAGCTTAACGGTTGTTGTGGGTACTTATTTGTTGATCGGGGGTTGAGGGTCGGCTGGTTGAGTGGAGGGTGGTGGAGGAAGGAGGGAGGGGTGTGGAGGGGTGCGGAGGAGTTTTGATCCGTGAATCATGGCAGTTCCTACCCTCAATACGCCGTTTCAGCCGTATGTGTACCAGGTATGACGTGTACCAGGTATGACGTGTACCAGGTATGACGTGTACCAGGTATGACGTGTACCAGGTATGACGTGTACCAGGTATGACGTGTACCAGGTATGACGTGTACCAGGTATGACGTGTACCAGGTACGACGTGTACCAGGTATGACGTGTACCCTGTATGACGTGTACCAGATATGATGTGTACCAAGTATGACGTGTGTCAAATAGAGCGTGATACCTGAACCCAAACTGTATCTAGTGAAAAGTGCCCTCTCTTCTCTTCCTCCCTCCTTCCCTTTACCTCCCTACTCCCTCCGTTCTCTCCTCTCCCCCCGTCCCCTGCACAGAGCCCTCAAGCAGTGCTCACGCCGTTTCAGATACTGGGAGGGGAGGCGCAAATAGTGCAGATCATCCTAAAGCCAGGGGAGAGGGTGCGCGCTGAACCAGGTGAGCTTCTGAAGCAGTTGAATGAGAGATGCGACGAGAGGAATGGAGGTGCAGAAAGTGTAGATCACTTTAAAGCCAGGGGAGAGAGTGCGGGCAGAACCAGGTAGGGCTCTGAGCAAAATCAGGTACGGGTCAGTGCTTTGTGTGCGGATCATGCTTAAGCTAGGGCAGGGAATGGCTTGACCTAGGTGTGAGCTGGTGCTTTGAGCTTACCGTGGAAGACAGGTGAGAAAGGGCATGAGAAGAGGGGGGGGAAGAGGGGTGGGAGGAGAGGTGGGAGGAAGCAAAGAGGTGAGATATATTACAATATTCCCACGCCAGTGGGAGAGAATGGGCAGAACTAACCAGGTACACGACTTTTTGCACAGCTGAAGGATAGTTCTTGAGGCATGTGTATGCGTGTGTGTATGCGTGTGTGTGTGTGTGTGCGTGCGTGCGTGCGTGCGTGCGTGCTACCTGCTCCACTCTCGCTACTACACACACACACACGCACCTTCTTCTCCCCTGCGTGCCCTCGTCCTTCCATGCGTTCCGTGTGGTAACATGAGATTCGTTCTCCTTTCCACCTCTCAACTAGCCCGTCTATCCCCTACCCGCAGGCGCCATGTGTTACATGAGTGGGAACATGAGCGCGGAGACAGCAATGGAGGATGAGAGAAAGGATGAGAGATAACATCCCCTCCCCCTCCCCCCCTTCCTCCCGTTTCCCTCCCAGGCGCCATGTGTTACATGAATGGTAACATGAGCGCGGAGACAGCAATGGAGGAGGGCAGTGTGTGGCGGTGGCTGTCTGGGGAAAGCTTCTTCACCAACACGTGAGTACGGGGAGGGGAGAGCAGGGAGGATCAGGGGAGGAGAGTGGGAGAGGAGGGGAAGGGAGAGAAAGGTGGGTAACTGTCTGTTTCCATGCCGGATAACATGCCATGCCATGCGTGCTGATACCATGCAGGTTCTTGAACCAGGGACCAGGGGAGGGGTACATAGGACTCGCAACACCCACCATGGCCAAGATACTTCCTGTGAGAGTCACCTTGTCTTGTCCTCCTTCTCTCCTGCCCATCTCTCCTTCTCTCTCCCTTGACGCACCCTTTCTTACCAACTGGTTACTCCCAATGCTCTCTATCCTCTGTCATCCGTTTCTTTGAACCATTACCAGTCCCCTCTTGTGACCATTACCACTGCTCTTAACCTCTTGCTTGCAAACACAGTCAGCCCCACCACCTCGTTTCTTCCATGACTCTCTGCTCCTGCATGTCTGCTTGTTTGCCTGGCTGTCTGTTCTGTTCCCATGGCATGTTCACATGTACGGTGTACCCCTCCCTGCAGGTGGACTTAGCTGTGCATGGGGGCGAGATCATCTGTCAGGTACTGCCAACCCCCTCTGCTTGCCTGCTTTCCTGCCTGCCTGCCTGTCTGTCTGCTTGCCTGCCTGCCTCCCATTCTCCCTCGCTCCCTCCCGCCCTCCATCTATCCATCCTTCCGTGCATGCGTGTGGGCGTGACTGTATGTCTATGCATCCCCTCCACCAGAGGGCGCGTATCTCTGTTCACTAATCGACGTCACAGTCACTGCAGAAATGGTGTTGTGAGACGTCTCAAAACACTACTTCTATCACACTCCACCATCAGGGAATCGCGTATCTCTGTTCACTAAACGACGTCACAGTCACTGCAGAATTGACGCGCAGGCCCGCAGTGTGCGGGTCTCTTTTGAGACTCCTCAAAAAACACCTCATATGTGCTTGTGTGCGTGCACGTGACCGTGTGTGCGTGACTGTGTGTGCATGCCTCCCCGCCACCATCAGAGGGACGCGTATCTCTGTTCGCTCAACGACGTTACTGTCACAGCAGAAATGACTCGCAGGCCCAGAGTGGGTCTCTTCGCCATGGACGTATGTCCCCCTATTCCTCCTCCCTCGCACTCTTTTTCCACGCTTCACTTGACTTTTGAGACACCTCAACTAGCTCTTTGAGGCATTGCAAAGGAACTCCTGCAGGCCCAGAGTGGGTCTCTTCGCCATGGACGTAAGTTCCCCTATCCCCTCCCTCCACCGCCTTCCCCCACTTCCCCTGTACTCATTTGAGGCATTGCAAAGGAACTCCTGCAGGCCCAGAGTGGGTCTCTTCGCCATGGACGTAAGTTCCCCTATCCCCTCCCTCCACCGCCTTCCCCCACTTCCCCTGTACTCATTTGAGGCATTGCAAAGGAACTCCTGCAGGCCCAGAGTGGGTCTCTTCGCCATGGACGTATGGTACCCTACCTACCCCGCTCCCCCCTGTTCCCCATACTCGTTTCAATTCACAATTCAAGACCGCCTCACAAAGGTGTCTCCCCCTCTTAGACTGGGGTTCTTTGCCATGCTCGTACTTCCCCTTCCACCTCCTTCCCTGTCCTCTCCAGCCCTGCCCCAGCCTCCTCCGCCCCCTCCCCCATCCCCTACCCCCTTCCCCCGTCTCCTTCCGCCCATGCCTCTCATTCCATGCTGCCATGCCACTCATTGCCTTGTCAATTACCCCATGCTTCCCCAAATGTTTCTGCCTCTTGAGAAAACTCAAAAGCCATCCCGTCCCCCCCCCTCTCCCCCGTCTCCCCGTCTCCCTCCGCCCATGCCTCTCATTCCATGCTGCCATGCCACTCATTGCCTTGTCAATCATTCCATGTCCCTCCAAGTGTTCCTGCTCCTTGTTATGCCACCATCGCACCTGCTCCCTTGTATGCATGCAACAAACATTTTGTTCCATGCCATGTGAATTGACACCTGATGCCTTGTGCCGTGCCATGCTGTGCTGTGATGCTGAGTAGATGCGTTGCAATGTTTTCTGCATATGATGAGCCACTTTTGAGGTACTCTGAGAACCTTTTATGCCATCCTTTTCCTGGTTGCCTCATTGTTTCAACCATGCCATGCCATGCCACGCCACACCACACCACACCACACCACACCACACCACACCACACCACACCACACCACACCACACCACACCACACCACGCCATGCTCTCGCCACGCCATGCATACAGGGTCTGTTCTACCAAAAGCTAAAAGGGAGAGGCCTCGCGTTCATCTCTGGGGGAGGATCAAGTGAGTGAGTGAATGAGCGAGTTTTTGAGTGCCACTGCTGCTGCTGCTGCTGCTGCTGCTGCTCTCAATTAACACTTTTAATCTCTCCCCCTCATCCTCACCATTGTCCACTCTATCTCTCCTTCTCCCCACACTTTCAGTCGTGCAAAACAATCTGGCAGCGGGGGAGGTGGTGGTGGTTGATGCAGGCAATGGTGATGCTGATACCTGCTGCTGCTGCTGGTTAGAAAAATCGCTCACTCATTCCCCATCGCTGTTGCTGTCCTCTCCTTCCCCTTCTCCCCCACACCCCCAGTCGGGCAGAAGAACCTGGCAGCGGGGGAGGTGGTGGTGGTTGATGCAGGCAGTTTTCTGGCTCTTCTTCTACTGCCACTGGTGCTGCCTTTCGTTGGCAGCAGCAGTAGAAGAAGATTGCTGCACCTTCAACCATTCATTCCCCGCCGCTGCCCCCTTCTCTCTTCCCCTTTCCTGCTGCACCCCCATCGGGCAGAAGAATCTGGCATGGGGGCAGGTGGTAGTGTTGGCTGCATGCAGTGTGCTGATCCTACTTCCACTCCTGCTGCTCTTCCTGGTTGGCAACTTTAACTGCACATTCCCCGCCACTGTCCTCTCTCTCCCTGTGTGCCCATATGCAGTCGTGCAGAAGAATCTAGCAGCGGGGGAGGTGGTGGTGGTGGATGCCGGCAGTGTGTTAGCGCTCACTCGCTCTGTTGACTTCGACGTGCGATACGTTGGCTCCGTCAAAAAGGCTCTTTTCGGGGTGAGCTGAATTTGGGGATGGTGTTTGAGGAACCTCAAGAATCGCTACGTTGACCTAGACGTGCGATTCGTTTGACCGTCGACTCCATAAGAAGGGCTCTATTCGGGGTAGGCTAGGCTTTCTTTGGGGTAGGCTAAACTCTGCACCCAACCCTGCACCCAAATTTGCAACCACCCTTGCAAACCACCTTGCAAACAAGTGCTTCATCCATCAACCCTCCATGCCCCTTCAGGGCGAGGCCATCTGTCACGCCTATCTCGCCTTGTACCCAACCCTGCACCCAAATCCGCAACCAAATTTGCAAACAACCTTGCATGCATCACCCCCCCTCTGCACCCCTCAGGGAGAGGGCATCTGTCACGCGTATCTCACCTGCCCGGAAGTGCTGTTCCTGCAGAGCCTGCCCTTCCACAGGCTTTAAGACGTCTCAAATGCATCACCACCCCCACCCCCCACACCACCTGCACCCCTCAGGGAGAGGGCATCTGTCACGCGTATCTCACAGGGCCAGGAGTGGTCTTCCTGCAGAGCCTCCCCTTCCACAGGCTCGCACGCAGGGTGGAGAGGTGAGCAAGCGAGGCCGTATGGTTGCCTGCTCCTCGGGCTCCTAGGTATTCCTCTGACTCGATTCTAAAGTCGCCCCCGGAGTGGTCTTCCTGCAGAGCCTCCCCTTCCACAGGCTCGCACGCAGGGTGGAGAGGTGAGCAAGCGAGGCCGTATGGTTGCCTGCTCCTCGGGCTCCTAGGTATTCCTCTGACTCGATTCTAAAGTCGCCCCCGGAGTGGTCTTCCTGCAGAGCCTCCCCTTCCACAGGCTCGCACGCAGGGTGGAGAGGTGAGCAAGCGAGGCCGTATGAACCTCGGTTTCTTTTCGTGTCGATTCAACATTCACCTCGGGAGTGGTCTTCCTGCAGAGCCTGCCCTTTCACAGGCTCGCACGCAGGGTGGACAGGTGAGCGAGCGAGGTATGATGCGGTGGAGAGGTGGACAAGCAGGGGTTGACGGGTGGACGGGTGGACACACAGGGGCCTATGCTGACACACACAAGTAAAAGCTGCACTCCATGGCTCTTTATTTATTCATCGTTCCATCCATGGATTTTGTCACTCGATCCAACTATACAATGCATGAGCTTGCGATCCCCTTGCATTTTCCTTCATGACCCCCCTCTCTCCCTCCTCACGGCCATAGCGAGCCTTCAATTGCAGGAGGCACCAGTGCTGTGGCTGCGACTCATACTTCCCATGCCGCCCCTCCTTTCCCCGCTGCACGCAACCCTCCTCCTCTCCCCTCTCAGGGCCATAGCGAGCCCTCAATCACGGGAGGCACTAGCATAGTGACTGCCTATCCACCTCTTTTTCCCACTCCCCATACATTCCATGCCTTTTCCATCCCCCCTGCACACACACCCACCCACTCTCCCCTCTCAGGGCCATAGCGAGCCCTCAGTTGCGGGAGGCACCTGCGCTGTGGCTGCGGCTCATGATCTCCATCCTGCTGCTTTCATCCTGCCCCTCCTTCCCCCCTGCACCCCCCCTTTCCTCCTACCCTCCCCTCTCAGGGCCATTGCAAGCCCCCAGTTGCGGGAGGCACCAGCGCTGTGGATGCGGCTCATGATCTCGATTCTGCTGCTCTCCATGCTCCTCGTTGCTCTCGCGTTCGCTCAGAGCCAGCTTAACATGCTCGATTACCGACTCAACCTGCCTTAGTACCGAGCATGATACTAGAAAGGATGGTAGTGCTAAGGTTGACAAAAAGTCAAGTTCATTCACTCGACCTGCTCCTCGCTGTTCTCGCGTTCGCTCAGAGCCAGCTTAACATGCTCGATTCCCAGCTTAAAGCCAGCAGCTAAAATAGTGATAATACACCCGTAGAATTCTGGTAATGCAGGGGTGTTGCAGTGCAGATGATAAAGAGTTAATCTACCCGGCCTGCTCCTAGCAGCAGCACTTCAGCCCACAGAGACCCTGAACATCACGTGCTAGAATACCCACCCAGCCTCCGCTCCCATACCAGATGATAGGGTTACTGTACCAGGAATTGTAGGAAAGACAATCACAACTGTTTCATCCAACCAAATTCCCAGCTTGCACTGGTGGTCCTTGTTTTGATTCTCGAGCTAACTGAATCAATGCGGTGTGCAGTGGAGGTAAGGTACGGTATCATACTGTTGTTGCGTTGACATCAAGAATAGGTACAACTTTGAATGGTAGTAACACGGACTACAAAGGAAGCATCGAACCCTGACTGCTTGTAAAGGTGTTGCAAGAAAGCAGGTGCGCTGCGTATCCAACATGCAGAAGAGGTAAAGCCCTAGTTTCCATGAGTAGAGTGGTGCCATAGAATAGAATGTCACTCAGGCCGCATGGTGCCTGCGAGGGGTTGGTGAGGAGGGGTGAGGAGGGGTGGGGAGGGGTGAGGTGAAGTGGGGGCCTGGGTTGCGCAACAGAGGCAGTAAACTGACAAATAGAGAGAGCAAGCAAAGCACACAGCGTCACTCAGGCCGCATGTTGCCTGCAAGGGGTTGGTGTGGGAGGTGAGGAGGGTAAGGGAGTGGAGGGGCGAGAGGGATGGGAAAGGAGGGGGTTGAGAGAGAACAGTACAAACCACCACCAGCTCCCCCTCTCCCCCCAACCTGCGCACCAATAAACCGCATCTCCCCTCCCCACCCGCCAATCCTCCCTTTCCCCTCTTCCCCCCTCCTCCCTTCCCCCTCCCCCTCCCCCCCCACCCCGCGCACCAATGAAGCGCCTCTTCTGGGCAGAGTGCGCGGCCTCGATCTGCTTCTCCAGGTCCGCCGCTGCCTTGACCTCAAACGCCACCAGCTGGTTCCCTCCCTCCCCACGCACCACTAAAGCGCCTCTTCCCACCCCACCCAATCTCCCTTTCCCCCCTCTTTCCCTTCACCCCACCACCCCGCGCACCATTGAAGCGCATCTTACCACCCCCCAACCCACAAATCCTGTGTTCTTCACCCCAGCCCCCCCCACCCCGCCCCCCCTTCCCCCCCACCCCACGCACCAATGAAGCGCCTCTTCTGGGCGGAGCGCGCGGCCTCGATCTGCTTCTCCAGGTCTGCCGCTGCCTTGACCTCAAACGCCACCAGCTGGTTCGCCGCGTACGCGCCGATGCCCATTCCAAGCAAGTGCTCCCAGGGGTCTGCGGGAAGAGGGAGACGAAAGGTGAGAAACAGTTGAGTCTACTGCAGCGTACGCGCCGATGCCCATGCCTAGCACGTGCTCCCAGGGTTCTGCGAGGAGGAGCGAGAGGGAGTGTTGTGTGTGTACGGTAACGTTGCATGGGGAACCTTCAGAGCCCAGCAACTGCTTAGCTGGTTCGCCGCGTACGCGCCGATTCCCACGTGCTCCCAGGGGAGAGGCTCAATCAGAGAGCAGAGGGAAGACGAAGTGATCAGAAGCGCAACGGACGCATAAGTAAGGAGCTGAGTCGCAGCATGAGTGGAGCATGGAGGGACGGAGCCGGGGAACAACAGCATTGATAAGTTTCCCCGTTTCTTCGATTAAGCGGATGAGATCATGTGGGGGTGACGAGTAGGAGTAGGAGGTGATAAGACTCTATCCCATCATGGTGAATGCAATGGTGAAATCCAGCTAGCTTCCCGCAACCCAACGCAATCCAACGTTAATCAAGCTACAATGGTGAATAGACAACCCGCGCCGGTCCTGAAGCACGTGTGGTTGCGACTCGGTGGTTCTACACGCAAGTCATTCTAGGGTTAGTAGATCAGATCCGAGCTGTAACGCGGATGACTAGAGAGAGAGTCGACTCAGAAGGTACGGCGATACGAGACGATTAGGGTTCGAGGAACTGAAGCTCAAGACTGAAGCTAACTGTCGTTCGATCATAAAAGACGCGACACGTGACGCTGCTGCTGCTGCTGAAGCGACGCGGTGCGCGATCGCCTGAATCACACGAAGAGTCGCCGAGAAGAATACGTCGCATGACCTACTCACGCCCCACGAGTGAACTCACGTCGCATGAGAGGGAGCTTTCGCACGGCGTTACTGTAGAACTGCACGCCCAGGCCCATCGCGGCGCCGACCAGAGTCGCAGAGGCCGGCATGATGCCCGATTTAGTCGCGACGAAACTTGCGAAACCGCTTATCGTGCAACAGAACGACACCAATAACCTAATTCCGGCACCCGGCGAAGACGGCGGATTGACGACTAAGCGTGGCGGTGATGACGTGGAACGTTGCAAGAAAACGGAGCGTGTGCGGGAAAACCGCGGTGGACGGAGGATAGGCGGGAGGGGGAGCGCGGGACAACAGTGGTGGTAGCAGGCGGGCGGGTGCGCGGGCGGAAAGAGATTGGCGGGAAACGGGGTAAAGGGCGGTGGGGCTGTGTGATATGAGAGAACGGCGGGTGGAAGGGGAACCGTGGTTGGTGTTCTTAGCGGAGCACTTCTTGGAGCCCTAAGCGGAGCAAATACACCTCTAAATGGCTGTTATGATCAGCGTTCTGTTTATGTATATGGATCGTCCTGAAACGTATCGAGGTTTAGATTTGAATGACTGCTTGATTTAGAGAAGCCGTTGTATAGCGAGGAAATTTATAATCAGCGGGTGCTGCTTGTGGTGATGTCATTGGGGCTTCCACTGTTGCTCCTGCCCCTCCAAACATTTAGCAGCCTCGTTCCAATCGAACAAGGGCAATCCACCCACACTTGGCCACATGGCTACCGTAGAGCCCACTGCATCTAAGAGGGCAGCAGCCTGTAAAAAAATATCTGCGTGCCCGGTCCGCGCTGGCCTGATTGGCCTGGAGTTCGGCGACAGCACCAATCTGGCGGCAAAATCCTACATCCCACGCAGCGCCCGCGAGATCTGAAGAAAACCTGCACTGGTGGGATCAGCCACGGCTCACGGGCATTCTGTGACTACAGCACCTCTCTCCCAGATCTGTGACTGAACGGAATCTGTGACCGTCAATGTCTGACGGACGGAGACGAGAAAGGAGATTCTCTACAGTCGTTTCTGGAGCTGGTTTATCCAGACTTCGTGGAATTCAGACAGAACAGAATCAGCTGAGGCTAGGGAGAGGAGCGGAGGCAAAGGAGAATCATTCCCCTGCACACACCCCACACAAATTCCTACCCCATAAGCTCTTTTATGGTTGAATGACGACGCTTGCTCAAAGGCATATCTCTCTTCTCAAGCCCTTTTCTGGGCCTGCCGTTGCTCATTCAGTTTCTTCCAAGTTTTCTTGGTCCCCGGTTCGCTCGGCGTTTCCAGGACGAGTTAAACTTGTTGTTCGTGCTTCTGCTAGAAGTCCCGTCGTCATGGCGTTCGAGAAGATCGTTGTCGCCAATCCCGTCGTGGAGATGGACGGTACGATGTTGGATATAGTCGTGTCAAACTTGTAGCATTTAGGCTGCACGCGTGGATTGTTGGAAATATTTACAGCCACATTGACTCATGTGTAATAAGCGCGCGCGATTCGTTGACTGCAGGTGATGAAATGACGCGGATAATTTGGGAGATGATCAAGGAGAAGGTGAGGGAGTCATAAACCCTAGACCGCTATTAGGTGGCTGCTTTCTTGCAATTAATCAACTAACTGTTGGCTTTCCGTTTTCCCTTGACAGTTGATCCTTCCTTTCCTAGAGCTCGACATCAAGTACTTCGATCTTGGCCTGCCTCATCGCGATGAGACTGATGACAAGGTCACCGTTGACGCCGCGGAGGCGACTCTCAAGTGAGCGTTCTTTGCGAACTTGTGTTCAGCTTCGTGAACGACGCCAATTATAAGGAGTGCATTTTTGTTTCCAATCTTTGATCGTTGCTCATCACCTAGTGTAACACCCTGTTTCTTGCTTAAATGTGTTAACCATAAACTCCAGGTACAACGTGGCCATCAAGTGCGCGACCATCACTCCGGGTACGTTGTAGCTTCATGTTTTCGATTTCTTGGTATTGCGTTAGCTGTTTGATCCTCAATTGACATGTGTTGAAATCATTCCGTTATGCTTTTCAGATGAGGCACGCGTGAAGGAATTCACCCTGAAGAAGATGTGGAGGAGCCCTAACGGCACAATTCGTAACATTCTGAATGGTACGAATGGCCAGGGTGTATCTTGCGAGCACAATGTCCGGATTGTTGTGTGCATGCGAGCTCCTGCTTTGCGAATTGGTGGTATTGTCCATTGCTAACCCTCTCTCCGCATTACTAAACCTCGGATTTCTTGTTTCTGCAGGGACTGTCTTCCGTGAACCCATTCTGATGTCCAACATTCCTCGGCTTGTGCCTTGTAAGCAGTCAGCTCTATCATTTGTCATTGGTCGTACGACATGTTATCCACAGGGTTTCTGGTCTTCTGGTATTTTCTGAACCCAGCATCCTAAATTGTTTGCTTTGCCATAATTTGCAGCATGGAAGAGGCCCATCACCATTGGCCGTCACGCTTTCGGCGACCAGTACAGGGCCACTGATCTTGTGATCCCTGGACCTGGAAAGCTCAAGTTGGTGTACGGTACGTTTCAATTGTGAACAATTAATCAACTTGCAAAAATCTCTTGAAAAAAAGAAGAGCGAACAACATTGCATGACCAGATGATTAATAAAATCGGAAAGTCCAATCCTTGTACCACCGCAGAAAGGGAGGGAGGTGAGCCGGAGGTGCACGAGGTCTACGACTTCCAGGGCGGTGGCGGTGTTGCTCTTGCCATGTACAACACTGACGAGGTAAGCACCAGGACAGCGCAAAGAACCCAAAGTCGTTCCTGATTGTCTTCCAGCACCGTCTCTGAATTGGCGTTAGCTGATTCGCCGTTAGCTGCCTGCTCCTGCTGATCCGAGTGCACGTCTTGTTTCCTGACAGTCAATCAAGTCGTTTGCCGAGTCTTCCATGGCTTTGGCCTATGAGAAGAAGTGGCCGCTGTACCTCAGCACCAAGAACACCATTCTCAAGAAATACGACGGAAGGTGAGATATTCCGTGTTGCGGTTTGTGGTTCCACTTCAAAGGTTGGGAAGTGGGAAGGAACTCTTTCTGATTGGCTGGTGGAACTAGGTGTTCTCCTTTTTACAGCAGCGTCCTTCGCAAGCAGTTAAGCTAAGCATAATGCACCTGTGGCTGTGCAGGTTCAAGGACATTTTCCAGGAGGTTTATGAGAAGGAGTGGAAGGCCAAGTTTGAGGCGGAGAACATCTGGTACGAGCACCGCCTCATTGACGACATGGTTGCGTACTGCATGAAGAGCGACGGCGGGTATGTGTGGGCGTGCAAGAACTACGACGGAGACGTGCAGAGCGACATGCTTGCTCAAGGTGCGGCGTACTTTTCATGCAGAAGTGCATATTGATTGTGGCGCTGAGGCGGACGCGTTTTGCATGGTTCACCTTGTTTTCGCGCGTTTTACCAAGGAAAGTGTGTCTCTGACGTTTGTGGTTGTTTTGAATTGCAGGGTTCGGGTCTCTGGGGCTGATGACCAGTGTGCTGGTGTGCCCCGATGGCAAGACCATCGAGGCAGAGGCTGCTCACGGTACCGTGACGCGCCACTTCCGCGTGCACCAGAAGGGCGGCGAGACCAGCACCAACAGCATCGCCTCCATCTTCGCCTGGACCCGTGGCCTCGCCCACAGGTACTGCTCACACGCCCCTGCTCTCGTTCCTGCTGGACACCGCATCGCCCTTGGTGTTTCTTGGCTTCATGCCCCTGTGTTTTCCTGCAGTCTGTTCCAGAATCTACTACTTCTCCTGTGAGCCGCGTTCGTCCATAACAGCCCTTGATTCTGATATGCTCTGCCATTTTTCTGCCATTTCCTCTTTGCTCTTTACCCCAGGGCTAAGCTGGACGAGAATGTGAAGCTGGCGGATTTCTGCAACAAGCTGGAGACAGCGTGCGTGGCCACAGTGGAGAGCGGCAAGATGACCAAGGATCTCGCTCTCATCATCCACGGGTCCAAGTAAGTGCCCACGCGCTGCCTTCGCGTCTTCTGCCCCACAGTTCCTTCTGCCCCACAGTTCCTTCTGCCCCACAGTTCCTTCTGCCCCACAGTTCCTTCTGCCCCACGGTTCCCTTTGCCTCTCAGTCTCTCTGCCCTCTTGTTTCGTCACAACAGTTTCTGAACCCGAAACCCTAAACCCGAACCTTCCTCTCAGCCTCTTGGTTCCTCACCACTGCTTCTGAATCCCCCTTTTAATTCCCTCTCAACCTTAATGCCAACCTTTCTTTCCATGTCATCTCCCCTTTAAACTGCTCCCCCCACTTACCCACGCTTAGCTGCCCACCTTCCCTGCCATCCCTCGTCCCTTATCCTTCTCGTACAGTTTACTTTCCGTGTTAATTTCACAAACGTGCATAAGCTGTGATGGCCGAAATCAAAGTCCTGTGCTTACGGGGTGATGCATCTCCATTTGCTGTGTTCTGTGTTGTGCAGTGTGGCTCGCAAGGACTACCTCAACACCCAGGAGTTCATCGAAGCTGTTGCCGAGAACCTTAAGGAGTCTCTTGCTTAGGCGCTCCTAAGCGGAACTGAATGAACTGTTGGTTACAGATAGCAACAGGAGTTTGTTAGAAGCTGCAATTACGGTAATGTTTTGGGGGACAGGAGGGCACTGGTTGTACTGTGTTTTTGTTAGCTAAGCTCCAACCGATGCTTCCTCAGATGCACAGATGTGTCTGGATTATAAGAAGCTAGTGCAGTACACCTTGCTGAGCTGCACATGAAAAGCGTTCACAGTTTTCAGAGCCATGGGCAAGTGGTGGTGAGAGGAATTGCTTTCTACATTACAAATGCTCTTCTACCGGAACAGTGAGAACTGAGTAGAAAAGGCTCCATCGATGCCTTCACACTCAACTTGTAGTCTTCAGCAGGTATATATACCCCCCATGTTATCTGTACATGTACCTATATATATATATAAAGCTGTACTATGTACTTCGCCGAATTGCTTCGCATATCGCAACCGTCCCGGAGGTTACGGTACGAACTGCAATGAGGTAACCGCACGGATCCCAATAGTTACGGCAACTGTAACGAGGTCTGTCTCAAGAACTGAATGATAGTTTTGACTAAGGTTGGTTGGGGTACATAAGCCTAAGAACGTATTCCTACGGCCTCAGGGCGCCTTCCTGAGATGGGGCCCCATCGATTTGCAGCGCCATTGGTCCAGCGTGGCAGAATTAGATATTGGTCACACCTACCACACGTGTCATGCGACGGGAGACGATTAGGGCGAAAAACAAGGGAGAATTGGTGCCACACCACTCACATGCGTCTGCATCGAACGTTCATGCGACAGTTTCCAACGGCCACATGCTCCAATGAGACGGTCGAAACCACACTGGGAGGGAATTGATAAACCTTTTAGGGTTCTCATTGGAATTGCATTGTGCTATTGGTATGCGCGCAGGATGATGTTCAGTTTTTTGGTTCCGTGACAGTCTAGCTCGACTGTCGTTCTGACGCCCGGGGGCAGGAAAAGTTGACGTGAGGGAGGATCGCACGACCCTCAGCTCCCAACTCATACGACGCCCATATTCGCCCCCCCTTTGCTGCCATGCCACGGACACGTGCTCTGGGCACTGTTGTTGGGGGAACTTTGGATGGGGCCCCATCTCAGGAAGGCGATCTCATATCAGGCCACCTCGTATCAAGATTGTACTTTTTGCCTGGTAAAACTAGCGAGAGGTTTTGGGTTTAGGGAATTTTCAGTGTGAGCCTGATACGAGGTTCGCTTGATACGAGGTGTAGGAACACGCTCTAACCCTAACTGCTGTACCCCATATGACACACATCACTAAAGGCTACAACATTTGACACACCCCCATAGCCTAAGTGAGGGGTGTCAAGCAAAAACAAAACAGTACTCACAAGACCAGTCACAAAACAACAAAGCTCAGGGTGGATCACAACGTCACCACACACTCCGAGCACTAGCAAAATGGCCACACGGCCAGTCAAAGAGTTCACAGAGGTATAAGCAAAGTATACAAACAAAGCAAGCAGAGAACTCAAGTCTACGCAAGACGAGAACCTGTGTCAACGAGACCTAACTGCACACAACACCTCTGGTGGTCACAAGGCGGAAGGGCCTTGGTGAAGATGTCTGCAGTGTTGACCTCGGACTCCACAAAGTCGAAGCGAGTCTGTCCACGCCTCTGCAACTCTCGCAGAAGAAAGTACATGACGTTGATGTGCTTCACTCTGCTCTCCAGTCGCGGCTCTCGACAGAGGAGAATCGATGCCTTGTTGTCAGGGAACAAGGTCGGTGCAGAGCTCGGCCGCTCACCAAGGTCAGTGAGCAAGAAGGTCAACCAGCGCAGCTCCTGTGCAGCCATGGCTCCAGCGTAGATCTCAGCCTCAGCGGTAGAGGTCGAGACTGACGAGGAACGCGTGGACCTCCACGAAACAGCTCCAGAGCCCAGGCTGAAACAGTACCCCTGAGTAGACCGGTGAGTGTCGGCGTCGTCAGCGTAAGAAGAGTCACAGTGACCAGTAAGTACGACAGACTGCCCTCCTCCAAGAACCAGCCCCACGCCTGATGTCGTCGCTAGGTACTTCGCCACCCTCACAGCTGCTGTCCAGTGAACAGGACGGTGTCTCACTGGCGCAACAAAGCGAGCAAGGATGCTGAGAGGGAAGGCGAGGTCCGGGCGAGTACAAGTCATCAGGTACATGAGGCAGCCCACAAGCTCTGCGTAAGGACCACAAGGCTCAAACGCAAGAGGTGTGCGCTGTACCGTGGAGTGCTGAAGCTCGAACCGCAGAAGGACCTGCTGCACCATGTGTGACTGTGATGCGAGCGGCTCTGTCCCTGGTGATGTGCAGGCCAAGGTAGTGGCGCAGCTCACCAAGGTCAGTGCACGTGTGTCTCTTCTGCAGTTCGGACTTCACGTCAGCCAAAGCAACCATGTCAGCAGTGGCGAAAACCAGGTCGTCGACGTAGACCAGTACAAAGAACGGTGTGGAGCCACGACGAACGAACAGCGACGGGTCGGCAGAAGACGGCTGAAAACCGAGGTCAGACAGTGTAGAACGAAGGGTGTCGTGCCACTTACGAGGAGCCTGACGGAGACTGTAGACCGGTCGCCTCAGCCTCCACTGGGTCCCAGGAGGGAAAGTGCCAGTGAAGGCAGAGGGACAACGCAGCCAGACCTCCTCGTATAGGCTACCCTGAAGGAAGGCAGTGGAGAAGTCGAGAGAGTGTAACTCGTAGTCTCTCTCTGCTGCTATGTGCAGTAACACCCGAAGAGTGGTCATCTTCGGGGTAGGCGCGAAGGTCTGAAAGAAGTAAACTCCCTCGCGCTGACAGAAACCTCTAGCCACATAGTGCGCCTTGAAGACCGGAGGAGATCCCGGTGGCCGTTTCACCCTGAAAATCCACAAGCCATCGACTACGTTCGCCCCAGGGGGGGGAACCTCGTCGACGTAGGTGCCTGTGGGTCTGTAGGAGGCCATCTCTGAGTCCATGGCAGCTCTCCACTGAGAGTCCCAAGGCCCTGACACTGCCTCAGCGTAAGTGCGAGGAGTCGGTATGTCAAGGGCGTCGGAGTCTCCCTCAGGGGCGACCAGCATGGCACAGAGGATGAGGGGAAGCGGCTGCCAGGAACTCCAGCTCAAACTGCCTGTCCTGTAGGGCGTCACAGCCAAGGGCAGACTCACCCCCGACGGCCAGAGGACTGGTAGGAGGAGCAGCCACGAGACGAGTGGAGTAGTCAAGGCGCCGAGTAGAGGCAAACTCAGTGACTGCGGTAGTAAGAGTAGAGACAGAGGACAGAGAAGCACGGGGGTCGGTGAGAAGAGAGGCGAGAACACGAGAGAGAACAGGACGGAACGTGCGGTAGTAGTCAGTGACAGGAGTAGAGAGGGAAGCAGTGAGGGCTGACTCAGGGAGAGAAGGAAGCACAGACGGCGACGAACGAGGCGGACTAGGACGGAACAGGACAGTACGAAGGTCAGTGAGAGGGACAGGGGACGAGGGACGAGCACGAGGAGAACGAGAAGTCCAAGCGTGAGAAAGAGGAGGGGACAACGGAGGCTGAGAACGGGGGAAAACAGCTGGGGCGGAGTCAGGAGGAGGAAACGTGGGACCGTAGACAGGGGGAGAGGGGGAGGGGGGAGGAGAGGGAGAGGGGAGACCGAGGGTCCGAAGACCAGAGACAGGAGGCGGAGGTGGCGGCTGCTGCTGCTGCTCCTGCTGCTCCTGCTGCGGCGGCGGCTGCTGCGCCTGCTGCTGCTGCTGCCGCTCCTCTAGCTGCTGTAGCTCCAGCTGCTGCCGCTCCAACTCTCTCCCCTCTCGCTCCAACTCCAGCTGCTCCTCACGTGCACGGCGAACACGGGCCTGGTGCCGGGTTGGGTAGGGGTGGGGGGGAGGAGTAGTGTCCGGGGCGGTGGTAGCCCCAGGACCGCTCTCCAAAGCACCAGTCGCACCACCCCCAGAGCTAGCACCACCAGCAGCAACACAGCCAGTCCCAGTCTCTCCAGGTCCCGTAGGGGGCGCACCCGCACCCCTAGTCGTAGCACCCCCAGTCGTAGCACCCCTGGGCTCAGCTCCAACTCCAGCACCCCCAGCACCAGAACCTCGTGGAGGCACACTCTCGGCTCCAACTCCAACCCCTCCAGAGGTAGCACCTACAGGGTCCGCGCTACGGACACCAGCACCCTCAGAGTCTGCAGTAGCCTGTGGAGGAAGTGCTGACGGCTGCTGCGGTGACTGTGAGGAGGATTGCGGAGAAGGGGACGAGACCTGAGGGGCTACCGAGGGGGGGGGGGTGGTAGCGTGTGACACACCTGACGGGGCTGGACCAGGGGGGGGAGGCTGTACCTGAGGAGCCGGAGGGGGAGTGGGAGCCAGAAAGAGGGGGGGAGGAGGAACCGGGAGACCTCGACAGGGGTACCGGGTGTAGTAGGGGACTGACTCGTCAAAACGGACGTCACGGGAGTCAAAGAACCGGTGAAGGGGAGGGTGGTAAAAGGTGAAGTCAGAGGAGTCCTCGGGGAAACCAAGGAAGACACAGGGAACGGCGCGAGGCGAGATCTTGTCCGCGGAGGTGTCGCGAACAAGTGCCAAGCAGCCCCAGACACGAAAACGCGACACAACACCGGGGGACCCAGTCCAAAGACTGGTCGGTGAAGCCCCTGGCCGGGAGACACGTGGCCAGAGGTTCAGCCGGTGAGCGGCGTACCGAACCGCGTAGGGCCACAGAAAATGGGGCGCACGGGCGTGAATCATGGAGGTACGTGCGATATCCATGACCAAGCCTATGCGGCGCTCAGCAACCCCATTCTGATGCGGGGACTCCGGAAGCGTCCAGGACTGACGGATGCCCTGCTCGCGACAGAATCTGGCGAGAACGCCGGAGCGAAACTCACCCCCACGTTCGAAGTGAAGACAACTGACACGACGACCACGAGTGTTCGCAGTGGTAAGCAACCACCGGACCAGCGTAGAAGTCACCTCGGACTTCTTCGCCAGTGGGAACACTGTGGTGTACCAAGAGTAGTCGTCAACGACCACCAGAAAGAAACTCTCTCGCTCAGGGCCAGGGCGCGAGGCGGGGCCCCAGACGTCCAAGTGGAGAATCTCGAAGGGCTTGGTGGCCGGACGAAGGGAGGAGGAGTGAGGGGTGGCGCGCAGCCGACCCTCGACGCAAGGGGCGCAAGGTGGTGCAAGCGAAGGCGCCAGCGACGGCAAGACTCGCGGGAGGCCTAAGACGAGACGCTGACTACCCATAGTGCGTTGGCGAGGAATGGACGGGTGACCAAGACGGTGGTGGTACAGACTGGTGGGGTGGGCAAGCGACCGACACGAGCAAGACGCAGCAACCGGACCAGACGCTGGAACCCTACCAGACGCAACTACTTGGTGGGAGGCGGCAACCTGGTGAGACGCGAGGACCTGACGGGGAGCAGTGACAGGGGTCGGAGGAAGCTGCTGCTGCTGCCGCTACTGCTGCTGCTGCTGCTGTTGCCTCTCTCGGGGGCCAGTGTGAAGTGTGTAGAGACCAGAGCCCGGCTCAGCGTGAAAGGTGGCCAGGGGCGCGTACGTGTCACCGTCTACACAGGTCGCAGTGTCCCCAGAAGGCTCAATCCAAACACCCACGTGACTGTCCACGAGCGGCCCCACACCCACCAAGTTCCTGGAGAACGAGGGGACGTGAAAGCCGGTCAGGAAACTCGAAGGAACAGCCGGACACGGAAGCGTAGTCGTGTAGAGAGCAGTGACTGGTCCCAAAGTGGGATCAGCCAGTGCTACAGAGACCGGCGCAGGAAGCGGAGTAAGCGTCTTGTGGTCGCGGAAGAAACAGTGTGAAGCGCCGGAGTCCAGAGTGAAAGATAGCGAAGCGTCCTCCGGAGCAGCTCCTGGACTAGTGTCTACACAAGTACCTACACTAGCAACAGGCACCTCAACAACATTAGCACCTAAGCTAAAAACACTCGAGTAAACAGATTCAGAAGCACTAGAGTCAACAACAGCATACATAACATGAGAATTTCCTAAGAGATCAAGCAACTGAGAAGCAGACATGCCCCACAGGGCAGCACCGTGCGAGTGAAGAAAAGGAAGCCAGTCAGGGGCAGGGCCGTCGACGCCGTAGGCCGCGCGAAGGGTGTCAGTGAGCTGAGAAAAGCACTGACCCGGGGTGTGGCTGCGGCCACAGGGGAGGCCTCGACGAGGACCTATCTGGACGAGATAGGTGCAGGGAGGGTGGACGGTACCGCGCGACAGCTGACGCGGTCCTGACCCCTGCCCCGGAAACTGTTGCTGTCGCTGCTGCTGCTGTGGCTACTGCGAGAGGAGTGGCTGCTGTTGCCGCTGTCGCTGAGTCAGGTACCAAGCCGCCACTCCAGCACCTGCAGTTGGCAGTCCAGCAGGTGCCTGACGTACCCGAGCGTCACCTCCACCAGCTGCAGCAGGGGAGTCACTAGCCGCTGCACGAGGCGCTCCTCCAACTCATGCACTCCCGCCACCGCCACTCTCCACGCCACCTCCGCCGCCTCCGCCGCCTCCGCCCGCACCCTGACCGCCCATCCTGCCACTCCTACCCCTCGACCGCGAAAAAGTCGTAACAGCAGCTGCGGTCACGTCAGTAGCGGCAGTGGCGAGGGAAGCAGTAAAGGTGGGCAGCTGAGGGACAGCACCCGTGAAACACTGGAGGGGGCACAGCGCCAGAGGCGGAGGCTACCGAGCGGAGGTTGCTCTCGACGTCCTTAAGGGCAGACTCAAGGACGTCGATAGTGAGCTCGCTAGGGTGCTTCAGAAGAAGCGCGTCACGAACCGAGGCAAGGCGGTCAGGGAGGCTAGTGGCGATGAAATATATAGTAATCGCCATGGGGGGAGGGAGCAGTGCAAGCTGTGCGTCAGTGCAGGCAGCGCGGTAGCTAGAATCGAGCGAGCGCAGGTGAGCGATCAAGTCAGTAGAGCGCTCAAACGAGGCGAGGTCAGGAAACAGGAACGGGAGGAAAAGTCGACCAAGAGAGACAGTGGTGGGAGTAGCGTAGCGGGCCTTGATCGCAGTCAGGAACTCACTAGCAGTGCGAACCTGAGTGAAGTGGGTCTCCTCAGACTCAGGGAGGAGGATGCTAAGGGCGATGCAGGCCGCAGCATCACGCGACTTCCACGCTGTCAGGTCAGCACGCTGGCGTGCATAACGGTCTCTGTCTGCAGTGCTGACGTAAGCGCCTAAGGGTGCAGGGTCGGAGGGGCGCTACGGGCGTGAGCGGGAGGAACGGGATCCCACAGGATCCGAACCTAGGTGATACCATGTCAAGAATTGAATGATGGTTTTGACTAAGGTTGGTTGGGGTACATAAGCCTAACCCTAACTGCTGTACCCCATATGACACACATCACTAAAGGCTACAACATTTGACAGTCTGTATTACAGTTAATAAGGGAATGTACTACCCCTCAGAGTACCGGTACATAACTAGCTAGGAGGACTATATGACGCTATGTATTTGTTACTATCACCACTTTGTCATTTGCATTCATTATGAACAAGGTCCTTTACAAAGACTTCCGTTATCTCAAAACTACTCTTCCCTAGCACACTTATCCTGTCCAACAAAAATCCTCCAATTGTTCCAACAAGGTGCACGGAGAGGTGACAAGGGGTGAGAGAGCAACAACAGCATAACCTTATGAAGACCGTGAGTCATGATCAGACTGTTGACATACACACACGGAGGTTTAGTGGGTCAGTCAGTTCAACTGAGAAGGGAAAACAGCAGAGCAGAGCACAGCACAACACAACGCAACACACGTGCTGTGCTGCTGCATTGTACGGCACCAAAAGCCACGCTGCTCAGTAGCTGCTGCAGGCTACTGGTTACTGATACACTGGTTACTGGTACAAGCGTTCCCCCTCAGGACATCCCACCAACCTAACACCTAACCCGACCCAACCCGACCCAACCCAACCCTACCAACCAGAATTCCTGTTGCAAGTCCTGCTTGCTGACGTGACCATTCATTCTCTTCCCAACCTAACCCACCACTAACAATCCCACTGCCAATCAGCCCATCCATACCGTAGATACACTCTTCCCCACTTTTCCGAGTGCCATATCTCGGCTCTAATCCAACCCTCACCCCACCGTTTCTTCATTTCTATTCACTCCCATTTCTTCACTTTCTCTTCTGCTCCTCGTGACTCTCTTCCCCTCGCCAGGGCTCCTCCTCACCCTTCTCCCCCCTCAACGCTCTCGCTCCTCACCCTCTCGCCTTGCTTCATTCTTCCCCCTTCCCTTGGACCCATTTAGCCTAGCCTGGCCTCCCCAGCACTAAGCCTCCCACTTCTCATCTCCCTCAATCTTCCACCTCCTCCACCACTATCGACTTCCTTCCCACTCTCATCTTCCGTCCCACTATCATCTTCCTTCCCCATCACTTCCCTCCCCAGCCCGTCCCTTCCTTCCCACTCTACCATTCTTCGCCTCTCCCTCCCCTCGCTTCTCCTTCTCTCCCCTCCCTTCCCCCCCCGTCCCCTCACCCCCCTGTGTTCCATCCCATGCTTCTTCCAAAAGCATTGCGGACACACCTTCTGCTCTGCTTATCTTGCTCTTTCCTCTCAACCCACTGCTGCCCCCACGACTGCTACCACCAGCACTGCCACCGCCACTGCCACCGCCACTACCACTACCACTACCTATTCCTCCCGACAACCTTCTTGTTAGCTTCTTCACCCCCTTTCCTTCCTTCCCTCTCCCCTCCTCCTCTCCTCCCGCCCCCCCACTTCCATGTGCGGGAGGGGGAGTAGCTGCAGGGTTAAGAGAGCTGCTGTGGCCATGCGGGGGGGGGAGAGGGGCGTCACACGCTGCTGCAAGAGCAGCACGGGAAGCAGAGGGGGTCTTGCGAAGACGGGGCTTCGAAGGCGTTCCCGTTCCTCCTCCTCCCCCTCCTCCTCCACTCACTCCTCCTGCCGCCTCTGGCCCTGCTACACTCGATCCTGAATCACTGCCATACCCACTCCCACCCACCACTCCGCTTTTTTCCAAAGCACCACCCAAGTCAATGCTGCTGCCACTACCCAATGACCCTTTACCTCTCCTCAACTTCCTCATGGGTTTCTCCTTACCACCAGCAGCACCACCAGCAGCACCAGCAGCACCAGCAGAACCTCCTGTCCCTTCATCTGCGCTTGACCAATCACTAGCCCCCCCGATAGACCCCTGTTTCTTCCTCACCTTCCCACTACCCGTTCGTTGCACTCTCGCAGGTTTCCCCTCCCTGCTCTCCCCGTCTGCAGCACTCTCATTCCCAGCCCCATCTGCCGTAGCAGCAGCAGCAGCAGCAGCAGCAGCAGCAGCAGCAGCAGCAGCAGCAGCAGCAGCAGCAGCAGCAGCAGCAACAGCAGCAGCAGCAGAAGGAGAAGCAAGAGCATCGGCAAAGTTTCCACTACCTAGGGAGGACCGTCGGACTATCCTCTTCGTTACACCCCCAGATGCACCCGCAGGGGGGAGCGATGACACCCCCTCTGCTACTCCAGTTGCTACACTAGCAGCAGCAGCACCCAGCCCATCTCCCTGCCCACCTAACGAAGGTTGCCGATTAACCTTGCCGGCCTTTCCTTTCCCCCCTCGCTTCAATGCCGGCTCTGCTGCTGCTGTCTCTCTGCTGCCGTCTCCTACTGTAGCCACCTCTGCCCCTCCTGCTCCTCCTGCTCCTCCTGCTTCCACTGCACCAGCTGCTGTGTCTGCTGCACCTCCTCCCTGCCGCTCCAAAGGGCTGCTGGCAGCACTGCTGCTGCTGCTACTAGAGATACCAGCAATCAAATGGGACATCTGCCCACTGCCACCGCTGCTGCTGCTCTCCCCAGCTTTCGACCTCCGCAATCGTCTCACCGGTGCTGCTGCTGCCGCTGCGTCTGCTGCTGCTACTGCTGCTGAGTCCTCAAGCCCACCCCCCCGCTCTCCCCTCTCCTCCCCTCCCCACTCACCCCCACTCCCCCCCAGACTCATCTCCCTAAGCTGTGCTTCCGCATCTGCCACTGTCCCTCCGCTACGAGCCAAACCATGCCGGCCACGAGAGGAAAGCCCTGCTGCCGAACCTGCTGCTTTGGCTCGGGGCAACCGAGGGGGGCTGTGCCCTGTACTGTTACTCATAGGCAGTCCTAACGCTGCTGCGGCTCCTGCTGCTGATAACTTTTTGGGAGGGGAGCGGGAGGGGGAGGAGCGGGATGGGGAGGAACGCGAGGGGGAGGAGGAGGAGGGGGAGGAGGAGGCGGAATGGGGGTTGGAGAAGTGTTTGGAGTGAGAGGAATCTTCAGATATGGATCGCCCAAAGCGTTGGCTTGACTGGTGGTGGTGCTGGTGGTTGTGCTGCTGCTGCTGCTGCTGCTGCTGCTGCTGCTGCTGCTGCTGCTGCTGCTGCTGCTGCTGCTGCTGCTGCTGCTGCTGCTGTCTTGGAGGCGATCTGGAGTGTGGTTGGAAAGAGGAAGGCGAGAGGGGAGGTAACCCCAAGGGATGTATGTGATGCGGGTGTGTTGCTTCTTCTGCTGCTCCTGCTCCTTCTCCTGCTGCCCCTCCTCTTTCTCCTGCTGCTGAAGCAGCAGCGTTGTCTAGACCTTCCCCTCCTGAACTGCCACTACCTCTTTCTGTTCGCTCATTCCCCTCACTTGCCTCCCCACCCCCCTCTCCTTCCCTCTCTCCTTGACCTGACACCCCCTCCCTACCCTCCTCCTCTCTCTTTTCGTCCACCCCCATCACTCCTCCCCTTCTCTTCTCCTCACCTCCATCCCTTCCACGAGCAACCCTATCTCCCTCCTCCTCCTCTTCCTTCTCCTCCTCCTCCTCCTCCTCCTCCTCCTCCTCCTCCTCCTCCTCCTCCTCCTCCTCCTCCTCCTCCTCCTCCTCCTCCTCCTCCTCCTCCTCCTCCTTCCCACTATCACCTTCCTCCTCCTCCTCTTCATCCTCCACCTCTCCTTTTCTCCAAACAGCCCGCCCCAACATACCAGAAACACCGCCTTTCCCCATCCCTTTCCCCTTCCCTTTCCCCTTTCCCGTCCCCACCGTTTCCCCCTCTACCATCCCCTCCTCCCCTTGCGCCTTCCCCTCCTCTCCCTCTTCCTCCTCTAGCAGTATCGCTTCTCCTCCATCCTCCTCCTCTGCGTCAGAAAAATCATCATCATCATCACCATTATCACCATTATCACCATCACCATCACCATCACCATCATTATCCACATCGCCTCTCATCCCTTCTCCCGCCAACTGACCTCCCTCCTCCGAAACTTCTTCCCCTTCCTCTTCCCCTTCCCCGTCCACCTCCCCTTCCCCTTCCGCTCCCTCCTCTCCCTCTCCCTCCTCTTCTTCCTCCCCTTCCTCCCCCTCCTCCCCTTCCTCCCCTTCCTCCCCTTCCTCCCCTTCCTCCCCTTCCTCCCCATCCTCCTCCCCATCCTCCTCCTCCTCGTCCTCCTCCTCCTCTGCTCGCCCCTTGAGGTTCCTAATCACCTTCACGCGCACCACTTGGTTAAACCGAACACTTCTCTTAGGTTTCACCTCGCCTCCCCCCCCCTCCTCCCCTTCCCCGTTCCCCCCTGCAGGCTTTCTTCTCAGGGAGCTCTTTCGCTTCAACTCCACTCCCCCCGCTCCCCCCACTCCCCCGATTCCCCCCGTTCCGGCCATTCCCCCGCCCACTGCGGCCCCCCCACTTCCCCCACCAAACTCCCCACCATATTCCTCCCCTTCCTCCCACCCCATATCCTCCCCTTCCTCCCCTTCCTCCCCTTCCAACCCCTCCCCTTCCATCCCCATCCCCATGCCCATGCCCATCCCCATCCCCATTCCCGTCCCCATGCCTGATTGGTCTATATCCCCATACGGCCCATCCATTTCCATTCTCCCCCCAGCAGTATTCGACCGAGTGATCGCCCCTGGCCTCATCATCCCCCCCCGCCCCAACCCCCTTCCCCCTCCCCCTGCCCCCTCCCCAAACTCCCCTTCCCCTTCCCCGCCCCCCCCATCCCCCCTAAGCCCTGCCGCCCCAGTGGTATGGCTCCGCCTCATCATGCCATTCCCCCGCCCCCTCCCCCCTCCCCCAACCCCCCCTGCTCCCCCTTGCATCCCCCCGTGGTTGTTCCACCCTCTCCCCCTCCCCTCCATCCCCTGTGCGCCCATGCCCCGCCCATACGCTCCCCCTCTTCCCCCCATGGCCTTCCCCCCACCTCTGCCCATCCCCCTCCCCATCCCCATTCCGCCATACTCCCCCCCTTCATACTCATACCCCTGCTGCTGCTGCTGCTGCTGCTGTGGTGTTTGCATTCCCCCCATATGCCCCATCCCCCTTCCTCTTCCCATCCCCCCCATCCCATATCCGCCCCCCATCCCCCCCCCTGCGCCCATCTGTCCGCCATAGTCCCCCTCCCCATACCCATATCCGCCTTCCCACCCCCCCATCTCCTCCCCATATGCATCTCCCCCCATCTCCCCCCCATACTGTCCCCCTCCCCCATACGCCCCTTGCTCTGCATACTCTCCCCCATACCCCCCTTGCTGATCCATATATCCCCCCTGCTCCCCGTATTGCCCCCCATACTCTCCGTATTCCCCCATTCCCCCGTTTCCCCCCCCATACCCTCTCCCCCAACTCCCCCCTGCGCCCATCCCCCTCCCCATTCCCCCGTATTGCTGCATGTACTGTTGTTGCTGCTGCTGTTGCTGCATACCCATGCCCATATGCATACCCCCCCCATGCATATTCCCCCCATGCATCCCCCCCCCATGCATCATCATCTGCTGTTGCTGCCAGTTTCCCCCCATCCCTCCCCCTCCCCCTCCCCCTCGCCCATACGCCCCCGGACTAGGCAACACAAACCCTCCCCCTCCCCCTCCCCCTGCCCCTGCGCCCTGGCCCCGCCCATAAGGGCTAAAAGGCGCTCCCCCCGCCGCCCCCCCTGCGCCATACCCCATGGGGGAGATGGGGGGCGCGGGGAGGGGCGCGTGGGGGAGGTTGGGCGCGTGGGGGAGGGTCTGGGGGGAGAGGAACTTGGCCTGCCAGGCGGAATGCGCCTCTGATACGAATTCCGCGGCTGTCTTGGTGTCCACCACTCGCTCTATGCTGCTCGCTGCCGGGGGGAGGGGGGTGCCTGGGGGGAGGGGAGGGGGGGGCGGAAGAAGGAGGGGAGTCTCTGATTCTGGCACGGCAAACGAGGGTCTGGGGGGGGAGGGATGCGCCTCTGAGACGAACTCCGCGGCTGTCTTGGTGTCCACCACTCGCTCTATGCTGCTCGCTGCCGGGGGCAGGGGCGTGCCTGGGGGAAGGGAAGGGGGAACGGGGAGGGGAGGGGGAAGGGGAGGGGAAGGGGATGGAGAGTCAGTGTTAGTGGCGCAGCAAACGTGGGTCTGGGGAGAAAGGGATGCGCCTCAGACACGAATTACGCGGCTGTCTTGGTGTCGTCCACCACTCGCTCTATGCTGCTCGCTGCCGGGGGGAGGGGGGTGCCTGGGGGAGGGGGGAAGGGGAGGGGGAGGGGGAGGGGGAGGGGGAGGGGGAGGGGGAGGGGGAGGGGGAGGGGGAGGGGGAGGGGGAGGGGGAGGGGAGGGGGAGGAGGGGGAATGGTGGGAGGGGATGGGCGATGGCGGGAGCCGGAGGAAATGTGTGGAATGTGGGGAATGTGGGGAAGGAACAAGAAAGGGGGGGTAACAGTGAGTGCAAGGGATGTGTACTGTGCGTGAGAAAGCATGCACACAGTTGGGAGGTATGCGGCGTGGATGAACGACGGGCCGAAGCAGCAGCTCTGCTTTCAGGGAGGAGGTGTTACCAAAACACACAAAACCCACATCGCACCCAACCGCACCGCACTACACCGCACCTGGCTGGTGGTGGTAAAACGCCTCCAGCCACTCGCGAATCCCCGCAAGCGTCTCCTCCAGCGTTTCCAAGCTCGCCTTGCTCATATAATCACACACCTCCGCAGCCTCGGGATCATCCGCTGCTACAGTAACCAGCGTCCACACCCACTGCCCGGGCCCCACTGCCACACATATCGCCACCAGCGGACACACCTCATACACCTCCCCGGTCCAGGACGGGTTCGTGCCTATTTCTACCACTTGCACCGGTTGCCCGCCTAGGTTTGCCGCGGTTACTCCCGCCCCGTCCCCCCCCATTCCGCCGATCCCACCGGCAGCACCACCAGCGGCGGCGGCGGCGGCGGCGGTGGCAGCGGAAGCGCCTGGTTTCAGCACCCATGTCTGGGGGAGCAACCCGCAGTTGCAAGGCGCGGGGACTTCAAACGGCTTGGCAAGACGTCCCGCCGCGGATGGCTTCTGCTGCAGCATTGCTGCTACGGTTGACGTGCGAGGAAGCACTCTCTTGAGGCGGAGCGGTGTGTTGGGCTCAGAGCACGCGAGATCAAATCCCACGACTGAGTCTCGGGGCGTTTGGCAGATGAAGTGGAGGAGCGAGGCGGGGGAGAAGAGAGGCAGGTCGTGCCATGGGGATACGATGTGGCCGTCTGGTGTTGAGAACATGATTCGGTAGCTCGTGGTGCCGGGTACGCCGCATTCCATGGTTTGCCATGCCTCCTGCTGCTGCTGCTGCTGCTGCTCCTCCTCCTGCTCCTCCTGCCCCTCCTGCTGGTAGTACTGCTGCTGCTGCTGCTGAGGAGAATACTGCTGCTGAGGATGCTGATGCTGCTGCTGCTGTTGCTGCTGCTGCTGCTGGTACTGCTGGTACTGCTGCTGCTGGTGATGCGTGTTTTCCTCCTCTTCCATTCCCTCGTCGCCCACGTGGCACTGTCCCTTAAGATTGCTGGTACTGCTGCTGCTGCTGCTGTATCCGCCGCGTCCCGCGCTGCTGCTGCTGTTGCTACTGCTGCTCCAGGTCACACTAACCGGGCTGGCGCTGGAGGTGCTGTTACTGCTGCAATTGCTGTTACAGTTCCCGTTACAGTTCCCGTTACAGTTCCCGTTACAGTTCCCGTTACAGTAACCGTTACAGTTACAGTTGCTGCTGTTACTCGCGGGACTGCTGAAACCGCCCTTCTGCAGCAACGAAGAGCTGCGAACCGCGTTGCTAGGGTTACCAGCGTTACTGTAGCTACCAGGGTTACTTGGGTTACTGTGATCACTGCGGTTACTAGGGTCACACGAATTATCGGAACAATTAGGGTTACCACCTCTATCAGCGCCGTCGCAATTGCTAAGGCTGTTAGCACTCCTATTATTTACCCTATGAAGACGACTGGTGTTAATCTGCTGCGCGCCACTCGCGTCACTCGCGCCAATCGCGCCACTCGCGCCAATCGCAATACCCGCTTTGCTTAAGCTCGTGAAATTGTCCCCCCTGTCGGCGCGAACCCGCACAGATGTTTCGGCTACTCCCGCTTCTTCCGCCTCTTCCGCCAAGGGTACCGCGCCTTGTTCCTGGCCGGTCCGCGGCGCACCGGCACCGCTAATTCCGACAAGACCCCCGGCCGCCCCGCCCCCCGCTTCACGCGCGGAAGCGCGGGCAAGTGCGGAAGCGGCGTCGGCGGAAGCGTCGGCGGAAGCGGAGGGCGCGCAGCGCGGCTCGGTTGCTGCTGCTAGCGGCTTGGCTCGTGCGACGGCTGGGCGCACCCCCATGGAAGGGCCCCGAGCGCACTAGTTCTGAGGCGCCGCGCTACGGGCGCCGCACGCGCTAGAGCACTGCGTGGTTTCCGCGCGACTGCTCGCTGCTGCTGCTGATGCTGCTGCTGTCATGGTATAGAGGCGTTGCTGCTTCTGCTGACCCTGCTGATGCTGCTGATGCTGCTGACCCTGCTGATGCTGCTGATGCTGCTGATGCTGATGATGGTGCTGTTGACGATGATCGTGTTGCTGTTGCAATGGCACGTTAAGCATTTCCCTGCGCAATTCCGACCTGCCAGATAGCGTTTCCAAAGGTCGATTCGGAAATAGTGCGCTGGAAGAGAGAGAACGGGTTGCGGGACGATGCGGGAACAGTGTTCGCTTTCGCAAGGCGGTAAGTCGGCGGCTTTAGGCTCGAAACAGCGTCGCGCGACGATGTTCGGTAACCAGGCGTCAGCTGTCAAGCATGTTCTATAATACCAGCTTCAATCACTCTACCCTCCTAATCTACTGCGGTCCTGTGGTCCTGCGCTCCCGTGCTCCCGAGCTCCTGTGCTCCTAAGCTACTGCGCTGCTCCTAAGTGCTCTCCCTACTGTGCGGCTGTTGCTGTTGCTGCTGTGCGTGTGGCGTGGACTGAGGTTGTGGGGAAGCGCGGCTGTTGGGGGGGTTGGTTTGATGCTGCTGGGCTGGGCGGCGTGCTGTGCTGTGGTGTGCTGTGCTGAGCTGAGTGCTGTGCTGAGTGCTGTGCTGCTGTGCTCTGCTGCTCTGCTGCTCACTTCACTGCGCTTCTCTTCCATGAAGCAGACCCTGGGATTGGTTGGGAGACACTCGCGCGAACGAGTCTGGCAGGTGTCAGGGCCCGTTACGGAGTGATCACGGTTGAATACGCTTTACTGTTGATTACAGTGCGGTTCGGTGTATTCTGGAGCGATTAGGTCATTGCGTCGCCATCGTTTGATCGCAAACGACATGTCTGTGATCCCTTATCGGACACACAAAATAATGTTCTCTTCACAAAGCATGGCTTGGAGTTATACTAAAAGAGTGAGCTGAATAACCAATAATATCATACAAATGAGGGTCAGGAAAGATATACTCGCTACACGTGGACCTCGGGAAAAAAAAAAGGTTATATTAAGGTCGTAACCATGTACAGCAGAGCATAGAGCAGCTGGAAATATGGTCTACACAAACCAACAGCCCAAATGAGTACGTAGGAAACACATTGTTGCGATCAGAAGTTGATCGTGCCTAGGATCACCTCAGGAAGGTTCGCACACGACTGAGTAGTGGTGGTGGGCCCTTGAACTCAATAGCAGAGTGGATATAAAATGCTTGAGATGAATTAAAACATGCAAGTACAAGGGTATAAATAAGAGTACAGGAAGGAATACGAATCGACCTAGCTAGCCATGTACTCTAAGGGGTACATTCCCTTATGTTAGAGTAGGTAGCTATGAATGGTGAAACTATCGAGAGAGTTTGGTACAAGGGAAAACCCTAAGGGGTTGTACCCTGCATTAGCTACCCCACTACAGCCTACATAAACTAGCATAACATATATAGTTTGACACACCCCCATAGGCAAAGTGGGGGAGAACAAGGGGTCACAAGACCAGTCAGGAAAGCAATGCAAGCTCAGGGTGGATCACAACGTCACCACACACCCCGAGCACAAGCAAAGGGGCCACAAGGCCAGTTCACATGCAGAGGTATATATGCAACAACAGCAGTACAGTGATCACTACCTAGCAAGAGTAAACATGCAGGTATATATATATATATATATATCACAGTAAAACCAGAGTCTACAGCAAGTGAGGAAACGTAGGCACCAGGCCTAGAGCAGTGCAGAAGCGCTGATGATTACCAGCCGGAAGGGCCTTGGTGAACACATCAGCCGTGTTGGCCCGGGTGGGCACGTGAGCGACACGAAGCTGACCACGCTGCTGCAACTCTCGAGCAAGGAAGTAACGCAGAGCGATTTGCTTCGTTCTGTGCTCCAGTCTGTGGTCCTGACACAAGGCAATGGCAGCCTTGTTGTCGACGTACAGAACTGGAGGAGAACGAGGCCTCTCTCCCAAGTCGGTCAGCAGGTAGGTGAGCCAGCGTAGCTCCTGTGCAGCCATGGCTGCGGCGTATATCTCAGCCTCACAACTGGAGCTGAGAACAGAAGACGAGCGTGTAGACCGCCAAGAAACAGAGCCAGAGCCAAGGCTGAACGTGTAACCCTGTGATGACCGCTGCGTAGCCAGGTCGTCAACCCAAGAAGCGTCTGAGTGCCCAGTGAGGACAACTGAGCTCCGCCCTCCAAGCACGAGCCCCATGCCCGATGTACTGCACACGTAGCGCAGTACCCTCTTCGCAGCATCCATGTGCACCTTTCGGTGCCTACCAGGAGCCACGTAGCGTGCCAGAAGGCCAAGAGGGTACGCGAGGTCAGGACGAGTGCAGGTCATCAGGTACATGAGGCAGCCCACTAGCTCTGGATACGGGCCACTCGGCTCTACGGACTCGTCCGAAGGTGGAGCTGAGAGTAAGTGACCGGTAGCCAGAGGAGTGGACTGTGGCGAGGACCAAGTGAAGCCGAAGCGCTGAAGGACCTGCTGCACCATGTGTGACTGAGTCAGTGTGATGGTGCGCCGTGCTCTGTCCCGGGTGATCTGCAGGCCAAGGTAGCTGCGCAGCTCACCCAGGTCTGTGCGCGTGTGTCTCTTCTGCAGCTCCGACTTCACAAGGGCGAGAGCCTCAGTGTCAGCAGTGGCAAAGACCAAGTCGTCGACGTACACGAGGATGTAGAATGGCGGCAACGAAGTGTCGGTGCGCAGAAACAGCGACGGGTCAGCAGTGGAAGGTGCAAACCCAAGAGCCGCAAGTGTCGTCCTCAGTGTGTCGTGCCACTCGCGAGGCGCCTGACGGAGACCGTAGACCGGCCGGCGGAGGCTCCACTGGGTACCAGGAGGAAACGACCCAGTGAAGCCAGGTGGGCGGCGCAGCCAGATCTCCTCGTGCAGACTGCCCTGTAAAAACGCTGTGCTGAAGTCCAGAGAGTGAAGCTATTAGTCACGCTGAGCGGCAACGTGCAGCAGCACCCGAAGAGTGGTCATCTTCGGGGTGGGGGAGAAGGTATGGAAGAAGTCAACTCCCTGTCGCTGACTGAAGCCTCGTGCAACGTAACGAGCTTTGAAGACAGGCGGAGAACCCGGCGGCTGCTTCACCCTGAAAATCCACATGCCATCGACTACGTTCGCCCCAGGAGGGGGAACAGCGTCGACGTAAGTGCCTATGGACTTCCAGGATGCCATCTCTGTGTACATGGCTGTCTGCCACTGAGAGGAGTACTCACCCGCGATCGCCTCAGCGTAAGAGCGCGGGGTCGGGATGTCTGGAGCATCCGGGTCTCCCTCAGGGGCAAGCAGCATGGCCACGAGATGAGGCGCAGCGGCTGCAAGACACTCAAAGTCCTCCTGCCCTATCCTCAAGGACGTCCGTGCCAAGAGCACACTCACCCCCGACGGACGGAGGACAGACGGACTCAGACTCAGCAACAAGACTAGCAGCGAAGTCTAGACGACAGGCAGCAGCAAAGTCAACAAGCTCAGAGACTAAGGCAGACGCAGCAACCGACTCAAACGACGGGTCAGTGACAACAGTGGCTAGCAGACGCGTGACAGTAGGATGAGCAGCACGAACCAGGTCAGGCTCAGGGTCCGGAACGTCAGGCAGAGAAGACGCAGGAGGAGACGGCAGGGGAACACGCTGTGGAACAGAGGAAGGACGAAGTGCTATAGTGTGCGTGCCGGGGACAGAAGGAGGACGCGGACGAGGAACACGACGGCCAGTGCGACCATCGCGAACAGGCGAGGCAGGACGAGACGCAGGCTCACGACGCTCTGTAAGTGAGTCTGTCTGCTAAGTGTAAGGAGAAGGAGCAGGCAGTGGAGAGCCTGGCTGTAACGGGAGGCCAGTAGAAGATGGGAGGCTAAGAACCTGGCGAAGCACGGAGTCAGGCGGTGGCAGAGACGACGGTGACGGCGGAGCGAAAAACAGTCGCGGCGGTGTAGTGCCACCAGTACCTGTAGCTCCAGCGCCTCCAGCAGCTCCAGAACCTCCAGCTCCAGCGCCTCCAGCAGCTCCAGAACCTCCAGCAGCAGCACCTCCAGCTCCAGTGCCTCCAGCAGCAGCACCTCCAGCTCCAGCGCATCCAGCAGCAGCACCTCCAACTCCAGTGCCTCCAGCAGCAGCACCTCCAGCTCCAGCGCCTCCAGCAGCTCCAGAACCTCCAGTTCCAGCGCCTCCAGCAGCAGCACCTCCAGCTCCGGCGCCACCAGTAGCAGCACCCCCAGAACCGGCACCTCCAGCCCCAGGGTCCCCAACTCCAGGGTCGACAGCACCAGCTCCAGGGCCTCCAGCCCCAGTACCTCCAGCAGCAGCACCCCCAGAGCCGACACCTCCAGATCCAGGAGCAGTACCAGTCCCGGCAGCTCCAGTACCTCCAGTACGAGCACCTCCAGGACCAGAGACACCAGCACTCCCAGCGCCTCCACGACAAGCAGCTCCAGCAGAACGACTCCTCAGGCGGGTACGCGACGCAAGCCACTCTCGTGCCTGCTGTGGTGACACAGGCCCGCGTCGTGAAACGAGACCAAGAGGAACGCCAGCAGACTCAGCACCCCCCGACCCGGCACCCTCCGGGTCAGCACCCCCAGGCTCCGCACTCCCCAGCACCTCACGGACGGGCTCAGCACCCCCAGGCTCCGCAGCCGCAGGCTCAACACCCCCAGGCTCCGCACTCCCCAGCTCCTCACGTGCAGGCTCACCACCCCCAGACGCAGCACCCCCAGCAGCACCTCCCGCAGCAGCACCTGAGTCGCTAGTGACCTATACAGGCTCAGCCAGGGGGGGCGGGTCTACCTGAGACACACCTGAAGGGGCAGGACCCTGAGGGGGGAGGGGGTCTACCTGAGGGGGACCTGGAGCGAGGAAAAGCGGCGAAGGAGGGAGAGGGGCAGAG